CAATTGCAGATTGGCATATTGCAATAATTATTACTTCTCATTCGGTCTAATGAAAAGGCACTATATGAGCAATTTTTGTATCCATGAAAGAGATTGTCAGTGATTGATTGATAGTAATTTCGCCTAAATTTCAGCTCAAACTGACCTAAATTATTAATAGAGTGACCTCATTGAAATCAGGGATTTTTGTCAAACCTGAAAATATGAATTTCACTTGTCATACGCGGAAAACCCAGAATTGGGTCGATTTTACAGTATGAAAATAGATTTATTCCTTGAGGAAATGATTCAGCTCTGATTTTTCGCCGGAATATTCATATTTTTCACACTTTCCTCTTGTTAATCATGATATGAAAATAAATATAGCTTTAAACCCGACTTCTGTGGGCACACAAAGTGAGTCTTCTGCCGGTCGTTTCTCACATAATAAAAAAAATTCCAAGGCAAAAGTTCAAGACATTACGACGTACTTAACAACGTAGATAATATTTTATTCATTAAAAGGGTTAACACAGTGTGTCTCAGTTGATATGCAAAGAAGAAGACTCTGATTATTTACATGACTCATTTTATTTGACTCCTCACTTCGTCGATCTTGAGTTCAATGAGTTTTTAACGCATATTTTTCGCACTCACAGTTTATTTGAAGTTATCATCATAAGCAGAGATGAAGGCAATTAGCTATATGAAGTTTTCAATTTCATCTCTCTTGGCGAAACGGTTGTTTTTCTCGCAATACGCAAAGCAAATCTTGGCAGCAAATCTTTCGAGATGTAATTAGTGATTTGAAGTAAATAGATATCTTGCTTGGAATTGTATTGTAATTTCCATTTGATATCTTTTCCTGGGAAAACACGCTTCATTTTCATCATCGAAAAGGAACTGCTGTTAATCCACGTGTATTTTAACATCACTCACAATTTAATTGCTTCTCCATGATTTTTCCAGTAGTGTCGGTTTCCGCTCGTTGAGTGATTAAAGCTGATTAGGAAGACAATTTCAATAAATAGACAGACAGAGAGACCATTGGAAGGTCAAGCGGGAAATTTTATGTAATGAAATGAATTTTCCCCCTGCATATGTTTAGTTTTTGCTCAAAATAAATATCGGTGATAAGCGGCCGGTGTCATTAAGCAAATTGCGTCCAATCGATGCACCGCCTGATTGAGTGACTCTTCTACTGAAAATTGTGTATTGAATGGAAATTTATCGTCGGAGTTCTTTTTCTGGTCGTGCAGGGTCGGGAGTTTATTTGAAAATGGGCAACAGAATATGCCAGCTGTTGTTCAGCTGCTCATTAATGTAAGAGTGTGAACGCGTACACGGCAAAAAATGATCAATTGCGAAACATACACAATTTCAACAGTCAAGAGATGGTGTTTTTTTTTTTTACATAAACACCACGATGAGTTTGGAAATGAGTTATTCCCAGATGTAACGAGTAGAAAAAAAAGTTTAAGAATTTCCCTGTAATCTCTGCATACCAAAGTTAGGAGTCCATTAGCATTTCAGTGTGATGCTAAAGTTGCATAACAGATAAATCATCTGGCAGAGATCGGTAAATAATAAAGTAGATCATATTTTGTCATCGATTCCCCTTCGTTTCGTGGATCTCACACTGTTTCACACGCGGAGTTGCGTCAATGTGAGAGAGAGAAAGAGATTCTTACAAAATAAGCACCAAAGAACTGGATCTTCAACTGGTTTCCGTGCCCCAGCAATTTTCTTCACATTTCAGCTGTTTTATTCAACACAGACGAAGTACAAAATGATCGATTTCTGGGGTTTATACGAATCGTATGAAATTGTTGGTCGTAAAATTTCGCCATTTCATCCGTCCAGAGGTCATGGTGAATTATTTTCAGACGGGAATTGCATATACCAAAATAATTTCCTCTCCCGCAACTGCAATGATGTACAATGAAAATTTTCCATTCTATGGTATTTTCTTCTCTTTTGTCTAGCTCTAACTACAGTAAATTGCGCTTTTGTCATAGCGCTAGATTGGATTTCAATATGCACAGTGTGGGAAAATGGGTTTTTCTCTGTGGCCAGGCGAAAAAGCACATGACAATGGTTTATGTGAATTTTTAGATTTGACCCAAATTTCGATATCTAAACTTTGAGCACTTTATTGTGGCTGTTTTATTGCCAAGATTGCCCACGAACAATATCATTATTTATTCTCATCACTGAGAGAAAATTCAACGTTCCGCGCTGCAAATGAGACAGTCTGTGACTCAATCACACTATCTTTAATAGGCCCATCGATATTCAATTCCAATTGATAGGGAGAAAGTGAGGCTTGAGACAAAGCGTCTGAGAGAGGTGAGAAAAGCGATAAGAGCAAGTAGGATTGCTGATATTTTTAATGTGGAACGTGCGTATCGGCGCGAATTGAATTAATTTCGATATCACAACAAAGCTATTGATGCAATACACCAGCAGAATCTTATCGATTAGGTCTCATTGATTAATCCAGTTCAGTGTTGTTTTTTTTCAGTGGAATATTCTGCATAAATAACAATAGAGAAATATTGAAATAGATTCAGTCATGAATTGGAATATTTAATTGTTTAACAAATTCAGTTGAAAAACAACGAATTCGGTCAATTTTTCTCGGAGTGCACAGAATTCATGGGTTTTATAGTCATTGACCGATTTATTGCTGGATGATTCCACTCGAATTGGACTGAGTCTGTAAATTTCTTTCCACCCTCGATTTTCATATCGAATTTATATTCTCCAAAAAGTGTCTTCTTTGTGATGGTTTCGGGGGCAAACATTATATGTGGCTTCGGATGATGAGGCGCAGATTTCAATGAAAGAGTGACTTTTTTGCTCATCGTCAGCAAACAAGTGGAGAATGTCAAATAAAGTGAAGCGCTGAAAGATTCTTCTTGTGTTCTTCTTCGGCAAAAATTTCAAATATTACACTCCCTGGCGAATTGTGTCAACAGTCTTTTTCATATTTTAATATTCTATGACATTGCGAAAAAAAGATTTCTTTATCCTCGAGTTAGCGCGTGGGTGTCGTTAGGAGAGCGCGTGTTTGTCTTTTCCTGGAATTTGGAGGGTAAATTTAATAGGAGAATGTGATGATTCCTTTGCGGTAAATATTTAATTTGCATTCTGTGCCACTGACAAAGTCACTGCGATGAGAATCAGAATTTCCTCTAAATTTTCCACTGCTGTGCAGGAGACACGAGATCCTTATCTGAGAGGGCTGAGAGCGTCTCGGGGCGAAGTGGGCGACACTTCTTCTCCCGAGTGTATAATGGTGGCGCTGAGAAGAGGACTAATGGTGTGATGAGTTCATCGAACCACACTTGCCTCATCGTGGCTCCTCTGACACTGCCAAGCCACTGTTGCCACAGTGAATTGATCATCTTTCAACAAACAGACTAATTTATTGGTCTGTGTGAAATTTATATCACTCTATTTTCTTCACTCTCTCGCGTGACACACTTTCTTGTTTGACATTTTTGCTGCACTTTGCATGGCACAAAAGGTCAGTATTTTCGGTGCTCAAGCAATTCGCGCACAGCTGAATTTTGGAAAATTACCCCTTCGCATGCAGAAGCTGACGTGGTGTCTTTTCTACCAGAAAATGAAGAATAGAGAAGTCACGGTGGTTTGCCTCCTCATCGTGAGGGAACCGTTCAATCTAACGGACGAATTTGCAGAAATACACAATTTTTACCATGGAAACATTTAAGCCATGATGGTTTCCGAATGAATATTTAGCAGCTTGCCACTATGAATAATTATATGTCTCTGTTTATGGTAATTTAATGCGTCTGAAGAATAAGAGCGAAAATCTCCGTCTACTCCATAATTGCCTCCGATGTCTTCTTGATTAACGATAGCGGTAAATGGCAAGATGTGAGAATTTGTTGCGTTAATAAATCGTCATATCTATAGTGCACATTGAACTATAGTTCAATCTTTGAGAGATCAATTTAAAATCTCAATCAAGTTTGATGCACTCTTTACTTAACCGATAATTAAATAGTGTGTTGAACTGATAGTAAAACTTATTTATGTTAACGCTGGCCTTCAATAAATAAATATCATCCCACATTTTGATATTTACCCACACTGAGAAAGTTTCTCTCTCTCGCCTTCATCTCAATTTCGATTTATAAATTAATTTTGGTGTTATGACTCAGACTACGTCATTTAAACAGGTGGATTTCTCTCGGTAGCTCAATTTTTGAAGACCCCAATTTGATGCTACTGATTGTCTTGAGCGTAACAAAAGGTTAATGGATCTCTGGGGAAAATTTCATTTACTCTTGTGGCTTTAAACCCTTTTCTTCAGTCTCACTTTTGCACCTGCGAACGTGATAAGATTTCCACTGTTTCCCAGTGTTGTTTTTCTAGGGGTTTTGTCAGTGTGGTAAAGAAAAATAGACGTACATGATAAGGGATCGGCTACATTGAGTAGAACTGCCCGAGGGATTATGGTGCGAGAAAGTTGGTGGAAATTTTAATTGGTGAAGAGAGTCAGAAAGTTGGGAAAACAGAAGTGAAATGGTGAAAGGGGATGGAAAATTGAGAGATAAAACTTAATGCTGGTGATTTAGACTGCACTAATAGTTACTTGTTGATTGTTAGAATTTTTAATGGGCTCTTTTTCTCCATTGAATTTCTCAGAGAAAATTACACAGTCGCTCGATGAAGGTGAAAACGTTTTTTTTTTTGGGCAAAAAGACATGTAATTTTACTTTAAACTACAAGTTTCTCGCTCTCTTCTCTCATATCAGCAACATAAAAGGGAGTGTGTATGTGTGTTATCGATAAATTCATGGGTGATTAATGAGATCATGTTGTGTGGCTCTGTGGGTGGAAAATGAATGTCATGGTTTATTGGTTTGTCTCTTCGGCAAGACTGAGTCTGTGCCTTTAAACTTCAGACACGCATTATTAGAGGAGGAGAAAATTAAATTTCCCACCACTAAAGTTTCTTTTTTTTTGGCTTTCTTGACTCTTTGCAGATCAACCAACAGCATCGGAATCCGTTCAGCTCCAACGACCCCAATGGCACCCCTCCAAGGACAGACAGACACCAATCATTCCAGCTATGGCCAAAGTGTTGTCAATTTGAACTCCATCTCGCGGAGTCCCAGCCACAGTTCCACTAAGAGTGATTCCAAGTAAGCAAAAGAAAAATGCCTGCATATGGAATTTTAATGCGATTTTTCACCCACAACGTGATCCTATTTCACGACTGTCGGAAGAACTTTTTAAATCCCTGATGATGCCCGCCTTTCCTCTCCACTTTATTTTCATCGGCCATAAAAGTCTGCCTCGCAGACTTGCTGCTTTTCATAAAATAGATGGCAATTGGATGGATTCTGGGAAACTCGAGACAAGGGAAAGAGGACGTGGAAACTTTTAAACTTGATATTTCTTGAGGAATATGAATTTGTTTCACATTGATTTATGGTGCATATGAGAGCTTGCAATCCATTTATGTTCTGCGTGCAGAGAACTTTGCTCGTGTTCTCCAGAAATGTAATTTAGAGCGTGAAATTCTGGATAGAAATTAAATTCCTTTGAAAATTTACCATTGAATAGAAGCCATATTTTATCAAAGCATAATTTCTAAGGATTGTGTAATTCTAATTGAGAGAAATCTTTTCTCTCAACTTCCTTTTACAAGAATATTACGTTGGCAACAGCAGAATTAAACAAACTTTCTTCTCAGAACATGTCATGAAATTTGTTTTGTCAGCCTTTTAGAGATCAGTTCTTAGAAGATTCTTCGAGAGATTTTCCGTATTTTTCGTCTTATTTGTCCAATAAATTGAAATTTCTCAAGGGAAGACGAAGGAAAATATGAAGTTTGATTCGTCTGCTGCTATGACAATAAGTGAGGGAGTCAAGGTTGCGTGTTTTTCAGCCCTCAGCAGAGTTATTCATGCATTTCTTGCACCTTCATGTGAATGTTATTTCACTCAAATTCGGGGATTCTCACCCTTGACTCAATACCCATAATCAGCCTGCTCAAGCGCCGATGAATGGTGAACGCATAAACAGTGGCTGGAATCCCCGAAATGTTTTCCCGATAAAGTTCCCGCGGGCGGCATAATATTGAGTCATAGCTTGAGGTGAAAATTACCTGATTACTTAGGATTCCAATTATCGAGATTTTGGCGCATTCTCGCTTAGGCAAACAAATGTTGGGAAAGAGATGTATCACGTTCACGTGATGAAATATCATTACTTGACGTCGATATTTGTGTAACTAAACTTGAGCAAGAGAGCTTAAAGAATTAACACTTGATAATAGCACGTGAATCATGGACGTATGAAAATTGGGCGGCACAATACAATATGGGATTTCCTTTGATTTTCCGGGGGTGCTTTCATCACAGGCCAGGTGGGCTTGTGAATCACAATGCAAGGTTCTCAATTAATTTTCAGCCAAACTGAAGTGCGTAGTTCCTTAAGGGTAAACAATAAATTCAATTCAATGGAACCACTTGAATGTTTTCACGAACCTTTCTTCGCTGTGCTCATTGAAGAGCGATAAAAGTAATTAATTTCGGGGAGAAGTTGCGATAAAATGTTTGCCAGTGAGAAAAAGAGTGGTTAATGACATTCGAAAACTTGGCTGTTATCATGCGGAAAAAAATTACACTTCTTGATTACCTTTTTGGAGTGCAGAAGTGAGATAGAGAAGGTGAATTATTGTAAGGAATCCCAGAGAGAATCGGAAATGATAATTAACCGGGGATTATTGTCAACAAGCATTGTCAAACAGATCTGAACAATGCGAGGAGTCATGCATTTTCACGAGTGTGGGTTTGTCTTGTGCCTCCATACTAGCATTATCACTTGACTTTTATCAGTTGGCCCGTGGAGAACCAATACATCGGAATATCCGCTATCAGTTGGGTAGGATAGAGACATGTGAAAGGTTCTTGGGTCCACAGTTTTCCCGCGAGCGCCATTGGAAAAGCACACGCAAGACTTTTTCTCTCATCCAATGATGCGAAATGTCTTCATCTGCGAAGTGAGTTTTCTGTCGGGCGGGGAGATTTTCTCAGCACGTGCAGAGTACATAAAATAACATTACTTTGTGATGGTCTTGGAGTTTGGTCGTTTTTCTCATTGGGCGTAAAAAGAATCGCAAAAATAAACAATTCGCTTGACTCTCTCTCCCTCTGCTATATGATGGCGTTTCCGAAGACAGTGGAAGAAGTTTTCGCAGAGTGAGAGGTGAAAGAATGGAAAACATTTCAGTGTTGTGTAATTTTCAATGAATCTCTCTTGGACCGTGAAGATTGATTCTCTATAGACGTGCTTCTTCTCCACCTCCTTTCATAGACACACAGTTTGTCTTGTGCGGCGAAAGGAGGACAGCCGAGAGGAAATTCCTTGTCCAAGGACTCGTGAAATGTTGTGACAATAATTCAATAGTGTCAGAAACATTTGTTCAAAGAAACTCTGTGTAGAGAATGTCATCGGGCACGGGAATCCACAAGGGCTTCATCGCGAAGTACCGACATCAGGGCCAGAATGCATCGGTCATGTTTGGCCACGTCGCTGGCGATGTCTCAGAAGTGGCTGAGGGATTTGTCGAGTGAGTTGAACAGATGGGGAATAGGTTAATTTTTAACGCGAACTTTGCCCACACTTTGTTGAGAATGGCACACACGGTCCGCGGAAAATCGATGGGACGGTGTTAAATATTTACGAAAAAGCGTGTATATCGGATGGCGCGATAATAGAGACCTTCAAGCAGATGTTTCAATTCACTCAGTGAATTTTTAATCTTTTCACATCCTAATGCTGCGTCCTTCATTTCACATTTGAAGGGATATAACTTGAGCAGCGGCGATTTCTTTTCCTTCTGCCACGAGGAAAAGTATGAGAGTTTCTCAAAAATTACCACTTTTCAGTGGTGTTTTGCTCTTATCGCTGTCTAGTCACTCAGAGTCTTATCGCTTTTTCGAGTATTCTTTATGATAAGGTTGCGCGCGAATGGATTAGCATAATCTGAACGAATATACGATAGAAATAATGTTGAGGAACCACGTCTCCATGGACAAGTTCACGGAAAGCGAGTTTAATGTGTGTCAATGGGGATATTGAGACATTTAGGGTCTTCACGTCAATTGTGGTCAGGTTAAGGCATTTTAAAGATTTCATCAGTTGAAAAGGTATATCTAATTTTTTTTTAATTTGAATGATAAAATCGATAAAATGTGTAAATTGTCTGACTATTGCTAAATAATGCATGGAAACACGCTAAACTCCTATAATTTTGACGTCAAATTAAAGTTTCGCCACAAGTAAAGTAGGATTTTGGGAGTAATGGAAACCGTTGAGCGTCATCGATAAAATTATTGCGATAGCATTTTCATTAATCTCATAAATTTCTTTACGAAACACACACTTTTGATAGAATCACTCAAAAGTGAATATGAAAAAGTTCTGCAAACAATTGGGAATACCCAATATATTTTATTACACTTTCTAAGAATTCGAATGGGTTAATCTTCTCACGTGAGTTTTTCATCAATTCCCAAGGAATTCACGAGAGAAATATTTGATGCAATTTCCACAAGTGCGGGAAGCGCTGTGTCGTGTTGTTTATTTTGTGAAAATTGTAAATCGCGTAAATCGCCTTCCCCACAAATTTTCCCCACATTCTGCACTTTACGATCACTTGAAAGCTCACTGGCTATGGCCTAAAAATATCCGAGCCATCAAATTTGGAGAATTTTATGGGGTTTAAATTGACTTGAGAGTGGTTTTTCCTCGTTGCTCCGCAATGCTCACACCAGAAATTGTATGCAATTAAACTCAAATGCTATTTTCATGAGTTTGCCCGTTTTTTTCTCCGCCTCTCTATCCATTCATTCAGTGTGAATTTCCATGAAGAAACAGATTTTTTGCTGGGCGGGATAAAAGTGCCAGTCTGGCTTCTTTCACTCTGTCAGTTTGGATATTTCTCAATGTGGCGAATTTGAGATGTGTGTGCAATTGACGAAGAAGTTTGTCATTTCAATGGGTGAATGTGTCAAGAAGGCATTACCTCTCGCGGTTGATGAGTGGATTTAAATAGCGCTCATAGTCCAGAATCCGCGGGGCTTCGGGGTAAAAATAGACCTTCTCGATGTTCTCTCGAGGGGCTGCTGAACTCTTATTGAGGATTCTGTGACTCCCGGACATGAGACTGCCATCTGATCCAGAGGAAAATGTGACCCACTTGCTATTTATCACCGTATTGAAATTTCACTCGTGTGTGTTCATCATATATGCCTTTGAGATCTTTCACATGATTCCTCATGAGATTTCTCATGTGAGATACAATGACAGATAAGTGTGGCAAATTCTATTTCCCTCACGCGCACTCACGCGACAGACCGGTCAGTTTTATGAGGCGAGTGACACTCTGCGAAAGCGATAGCATATCGCGCACGGACCTGTACTTCGCAACGTGTAATTTATGGCTTTCTTTGCAAAATAATCTCAACGATGTCACATCAATTTTTTTCCTTTGAATATCTCGCACTGTTCATTGAGAAAATCTCTTGAAGTACAAGCAAACAGTCATGTTGTTGTGTGTTTTCCGGCTTTCAAAAGAGAGTGATAATGTGATTTTTATCACATCTCAATTCCAATGTGTTCACACATTTCACGAGTGAGTTGACTTAATTCGGTGGGCGTATTTTTAGGTCTTTTTCTCCGTGTTTGACCTTCATATTATTCGGACTTTCCCGCTTTTTCACCTGCACTGTTCACATTAATTATTGCAATTAACTTTTTGCGGGAAAAGTGGTGGAAAAGCATACACTGAAAGCCTCTATTATCAATTGAATCAGTTCTAGGAAGAAGATATTTGGCGTGAAAAGCCGACACAATTCCTTTATCAGGCCAATATACACCTGCGAACAACACTCGAAAGGTTGAAAACTCTTGCAAAGTGGCCACAGCTGTGCAAGTTAAACTCTTTATCTGTGACTGACTGACTAAATTGATCAAGTGAGAGATTAGGTGCTGATATTTAAGAGTCTATTGCCTATTTTTGCCTCTTTCTTGTCTCGTGTTTGTCTGCCAATGAGAAAATGTGCGGAGGAGAGTGAAAATTGAGGGTAAATGTGGTTCACATATCATTGAATTAAAATGAACTTATTGCAGTCAATTAATATAAAGCACATTTATATCTGTGTCAGACAATTTAGCAAACCTAATAGATAAATGTGTTCATCAATAATGCAGCAAAGTTCAATATGAGTCTGGACTATTTTTACGCTAGGAGATTTCCTTATTTTGGCGAAGATCTTCGGACAAAATTTGAATTTTTACTACCGTCTAATTAAGAGAGCTTATCTCTCGCTCTCTTTAATATTACACACATTACAGTACTTTTCACTTACCGTCTTAATTGTTTTCTTCTCTCTCGCTTCTTTCCCCGTTTTGCGAAGATCTGTGAGGCAGCAGTTGGCGCCTGCACTCGGTGGCACGGTGGCGAACAATCTGCGCAGCGTGAGTCCCAATCAGCAGCTGAAGGGCGCCAGCGGGGGCGGCAGCGAGAAGGAGGCGAGTACAGGGAGTGGTAAGGATGCTGGCAAGGAGAAGAAGCGGAAAGAGCTGAGTAGCTCGCGCCAGAAGAAATTCCACCGACATTTTCAGAAAGTTTCCGCAGATGAACATGTGATTAATTGTGAGTCTGCCGTCATATCATTAGTCACTGTATCACCACGACTAACCCTCAATCCGTTCGTTCTTTGCAGATTTTTCCTGTGCACTCGTTAGTGATATCCTCTTACAAGGACATTTATACATAACTGACAATTATTTTGCATTTTACTCAAATGTTTTTGGATTTGTGACAAAGGTGAGTGCATTTTGCGGTGAAGAGGCGCTGAAGGGGGAGTAATCTGTTGCTTTCTTCCTCAGCTCCTGATTCCAATTCAGTCTGTGACGAAGATCTCGAAGGAGAAGACGGCCAAGATCATCCCCAATGCCATCGGCGTGGCCACGGCTGAGGAGCGCCACGTCTTCGGGAGCTTCATGAGTCGCGAGGCGGCCTACAGACTGATGGAGAGCGTGTGGCGGCCACTGGCGCCGGCTGATGTGGTGCCCGAGACGCCCGAGCCGAAGACTCTGGACGTGGAGATCTCCGAGTGCAGCATCGAGGAGGACAGCAGCTGCTCGGTGAGCGGCAACGAGAGTCCCACGCAGATCCAGGAGTCGTCGGCCAACAGCGATCCGGCGCCGCGACAGCGCGTCTCAGTCGTGGACGGCCTGCCGCCGGATGAGATGCCCACAATTGTGTCCAGTAGTCCGAAACCTGTGATCTTCCGCCACGCGCCTCCGCCACCCGTGGCGGCGAAGAAGTCCCTCCTGGCGCGCCTGAGGCTCAAGTTGCCGAAGAATGTGCACATCGTCCACCTGGGAATGGTGCTGGCGCTCGTGCTCACCATCTTCTCCGGCTTCCTCCTCTACCGGATCCTCGACATCCAGGCCAGAGCCAATGAATTCCCCACACTCGACTACAAATGGGTGAGTGTCGCAGCAACACTGGCCGTTTTGTTCCTCTGCCCAGACTTTCTCGTCACACTTTACTGCCGTTCTATTTGCTGAAGTACTTGAGAGTGCTTCTTCATCATCAAAGACAACGTGGCATAGAAGCAATATACAATTTGTGACTCAGACATTTTCTGTTCGGTTTGGCAAAAGAGCAGAGATTTTGGTCAAGAGTCTCTGTTTAACTTGCAAATAGGGTCACAAAGAGGCTTTTGAGGGGATTCTTAAATAGAAGAATGGCACGATTTACAGATTTCAGGAGCTTTGAGATTGTGTAAATGCCGAAGATAAACTTTATTATGGGAAGAAACTCGTGACGAATTCAAATTTGCCATTAAACCAGGCTCTCGAGAATTTTTCCGTCGTAACTTGCATTTACATAAGCAATAAAATATGACATATTTTCTGTTATTCTCACTTGTATTTCGCGTGATTATTGCTTATTCGTGGAGAACTAATTTTAGAATGACACCCTGCTTATTAGTAAAATTTATTATGTGGACGAAAATTTGACTATTTTGCTCGGAAAACTTCTCTGGTTTGTGTAGGGAATTTTTCTCAGGAATGTGCAGACTTTTGAGCATGAAAATCGCATCTTTGTGTGAACTTTTTGACTGAACTTCAACTCCTTTGCAGACTGGCACCAAGGATGACGCAGAATTGTACGCGGAGGTTCTAAAGTGGCAGAAGGAGTTGCAATCAAAGAGTCTGGAGGAGGCGCAGAAGATGCTAAATTCCAATTTAGATCAAATTGTGAAGGTAAATATGAGGAGAAGAATTCATTGTGCAAACTTTCGGCTTTTGCCAATTCAATTATCGCACGCTGTTGAGCAGCTGACAAGTTAATCTGCCACCTTTTGCAGGTGAGAGAGAGTCTCGAGACACTTTCGACGCTCATTCATGACAAATTGGACACAGATCCGGCAACGAGCAACTCTGGAGCCACATGAGCAGTGACGCCTCGGCCTCGATGTTCTTCACGATCTTTTTGTTTTTTGGGTGAAGAAGGCGATTTGCAAATCGAACTAGTCAAATTTGGGCAAGAGGATCACACTGAGATATTGCTCAACATTTAATTTATTTCCATTGTGAGAAGATGGCATTTCTTCGCACTTTTCCCGCTCTTCGTCACTTGGCAAGAAGAGAGTCTGTGAAGAGCGATGGAATTTGTGGTTGGAATTCCATGGTGGCAAACGTGGCTATTTTTGGCTCCTAATCTTAACTTATTTTAGATATTTCAAATTTCTACATGTTAATGGTGAATTGTGTAGAACAAGATCAAATGTAGCCAAAGGAGTAAAATTTGCCAAATATTAATTTTTAAACAATTTGTGGTTAAATGAGAGATAAACTTTTCATCAGTATAACCTATGGTTAAATGATAAAAAAAAGACACACAGACACAAATAATAATAATTAAAAAATGCATATTGTTCTTATTGATAAGCGATCAATGTGAGACGGATCAAGGCAAAAAGGTCACTGAGTGATCGAGAAGGCATAAGCAATTCATCATCTTTTTAGGTTCAATTTAGGAATGTTGCAATGAGGCGGATTGAAGAAACTGTGTGGAGGAGAAGGCACACTAAAATAACGGAATTAAAGACTGTGGTAAAGAGAATTTGTAAAATTCTAAAAGATGTTTTTGATAAGATGCAATGAGAAGGATGAAAAGTGTTGAGAAACCGTCAAGTGAGTTGAGGCAAATATAGTGAGAGGATGAAACGGGGAAGCAAGAGAGCATGTCTTTTACTATAATATTTAAAGCAGAGAAAATTAAATTCTAGTGTCAAGTTATAATAGAGTATTTAAAGGACAAGTAAGACAACCCAAACAAATCATATTTAATGGCTTTCACGAATAAATAGATAAAGAGAAATTGACATATTTAATGGACTTTGAAGAGACACTCAAAATAACCTGTATTTGAATATAATCAAAACGAATCACTAAATAATACTTCCTAAAGAGATTTCTCAAGCGACATTTTACAGAAGAAGAAGTGAAGAAATTTGTCCTAGACATTTTACTAAAAACTAAATAGTAAACGTATTTTAAAAGAGGAAATGGAAGAAAAGTGGATGGAAATTGCTGATAAAATCGAGAGAGAGAGAGAGAGAGTTTGTGTCAAAGGAACACAATCAATTACTCTCCTATGCCGAATAATTGCTATTTTCATTTCCACTTCATTCATTACTAAGTTTACGACCGAGGGTTAGCGGTGGGTGGAGAAGGCGAAAGGTAGCTTATTTTCCTAGCGGTTTCCCTGTATTTATTATTATTTGAGGTGTTATTCTTTTTATATTGTGACGGTCAATGAGGTAAAAGACTATCGTTAAACATTCTTTCTTAGTGTGCAATTATTCTCGAGGAACAGTGACTGGGCGAAGAGTTGACGCGCAGCGATGAAATTCGCTGACTTTGCATGAGGAATTTGATGATGTGTCGGCAGCTTAATTGAGCTATTAATGCTATTTGGGTGTCTCGCAACAATCGCCAGGCACTGTTTGGCTGCTCAATGGAGCAGAATAAATAATTCATACGCGTCGCAAGGTGATCTTAACAAGTTTGCGTGACATCGTATAAATAGAATTGATACTTTGAGAGGGAAAGAGCGTGAGATTATTCGAAATAGTCGCCCAAAAAATTCTCTTTTCCCTCAACTCGAGAGTGAGTCTAATTGCGTATATTCCTCCAACAAAGTTAATGGTTTTGATTCTCGTGCTTGCGCTCGCAACGACGAGAGCGATAGAGAGAAATCCTGTGATATAAATAATTTTTGTCTCCTTGTGCTGCACATTCATTTTCGTTTCTCGGACAGGGTATAAAATTTATTGGTTTTATTGAGTTTCCCAGTTACAAGCGTTGTATGCGATGACCTTTGGAATATTCTCTATCAATTGTGCTGCTTTGAGAGGAGAGAAAAAAGTTTCGTTGGCGATAAAGGGTAGTGAAGAAGCTGTATTGAGGAAGACAGTTGATTTATATTTACACTTCCTTCAGTGATAACCCAAAAGAGAGGCACAGATAATTCCGTCAATTTTACTCTGTGTTTTTATTATCGGACCTTCTTTCAAACGATATATTGACATTTTGGCATAAATATGGTAATTTGTGTCATAGAGCCTATATTTACTAAATATAGTGTAAAATCAATAAATAACAATTTGATTTATATTTGATTCCTTCTTCGCAAGAACAAACCAACTATCTAAAGCCATTTTTCGCTACAATTGCTGCTCACTGTAAATTCTTGTTTGTCTATATTAAATATTTGCCAACAAACAACTCTCGTAATCTTGCATATTCAACAAAATTTACAAGTCCAAGAGTTGAAACAATGTATATCGAGATGAGAATATTGTGTTTTGGGGCTAGTATTGCTTCAACGGTAGGAGAACAACCAAAAGAGAAGCAATTCGTAAGTGACACAATAATTTAACTGAAGAGAAAGAAAAATCTAATGAGATGATTATAGAGATCCACTCTCTAGCTAGAGAGAGAGAGACAGAAGGGAATAAAATGATAAATAAAACATAATCTCTGCCTTTTCAATTTCCAAGGATGCCACATCTGATTGTTCTTCTCTCTACCTACATTAATACTCCTGGATGTCCAGACAATTTCTTGGTAACTAGCCTGAGACCCGAGTCTCACTCTGCCATTTACAGTTTGGAGCAGATCTCATTGGTGAACTCTGAGCACTTGGCTTTGCCGCCCAGATCACCCGTTAAGTACTTCCCCTCGCGAATCACCCCGAACGCCGCGTTCTGGATCGCATCCGCCTGGCTGTTCAGATTCATGTGGCGCAGCATCATCACGGCCGACAGCAGCAGCGCCGTGGGATTGGCCAGATCCTTGCCGGCGATGTCCGGCGCCGTGCCGTGCACAGATTCGAACAGCGCTCCGTTCAGGCCAATGTTGCCGGACGGCGTGAGTCCCAGGCCGCCGACGAGGCCGGCGCACATGTCGGACAGGATGTCACCGTAGAGATTCGGCATCACCAGGACGTCGTACTTGCGCGGATCCTGCACCATGTTGAGACACACGGTGTCCAAGTAGCGCTCCTCGAACTTCACCTCCGGGAACTTCTCGGCACTCTCGCGACACATCCGCAAAAACAAGCCGTCCGACATTCGCCTGGCAGGACAGAAAAGCATTGCAATTAGTCGAGGCGTGTGAGGATTTCACGCTTTAAGGCTTAAAGATAGACATTTTTGCCTGTTTATATGAAAATTAGTGATTTCCTCGATCACGAGCAATCAATTGTATTACAAAATACATTAAGTCACATTATATAATCGACATTATTAATGTGTGTTAACCTGAAGGCATTGTTAATTAATCATCTCGGATATTAAGTTGATCGCGTGTTAAGAAGCTTCAGCACAGGAAACTTATATCACTTTTGCAAGTCTCGCGATTGCGAAAAACTGGTTTTCTAAGCAAATTCACAGATTTTTTTTTACAACTTTGCTAATTGATTTCTCACTCAACAGAATTTCAAGAGCTCTTATCAAAACTAATTAGCTTCTTGGACGTTCAGTTTGTTCATTGCTCAGCAACGATCAGTGAAAATTAAGCTTTTCCGCTGTGACATTCTGCTGTGGTTACATAAATTGATAATAGGATTTTTTTTGCAGTGAATAGAGAGAATATTTCGGATGAATAGCTTGAATTTATTTGCAATAAATATCGTTGGATAAATGAATTACTCATGCGTTATCTCATCCACTAAGCTGATAAAGGGTGATTTTTCACATGTGAAATATTCTCACAAAATGCAATAATCAAGGGTGAAACTCGTTATCAGTGACCTCAATAACTATAATGTTGCCCAAGTATAGATAGAGCAGCAAAATAAATGAAGTTCATGTGTGAAAAATCAAGGACAACTTTACGTGACTTTCACCCACATTTCATAATCAGATCAATTGCATCTCTGCGAAATCTTCTATAATGCAATTGCTCAGAGAGTTTAATGCCTTTTTTTCTCTAAATAAATTCACAGTTTAATAACTTTGCTAATTAATCACCTCATTCTCATGGAACATCGAGAGATTTTTATAAAGAACTAATTGGACTCTCTGGGAGGCAAATCGTGTTCCTCAGGCAGTAAATGGTGAGTTTCTCTGTGAGCTATTAGAACTATCTTCTCAGCCATTGAGTCTCAATTACACGCGAAAATGCGTGGTCAGGGCCGAGAGTTTGGTGTCCCAGTGAGAAATTATCGCCTATTAGCATATAGAACGTGTCTCTCGAGAGACTTACATGATGTTGGCTTTGTGCACAGCCGTCACTTTGCTCCTGTTATTGTCCTTTGCGTACTGGAAGGCGAACTCCGCCACTCGCCTGGACGCCTCCTCGGTGATGAGCTTGATGCTCTGCACGACTCCGTCCACAATCTCGTGCTCAATGCCCGAGTACTCGCCCTCTGTGTTCTCCCGGATCGTCACGACGTCCACGTCATCGTACAGAGTCTTGTACCTGCCCAGGAGAGAGGACAATTAGTCAGACTGTCGGCACTGCCGCGAGGATTGAGTATCTTTACCCCTCGAGACTGCGACAGGGTCGCACGTTGGCGTAGAGATTGAACTCCTTGCGCAAGGCGAGATTGAGGGAGCGATGGCCCTTGCCCACGGGAGTCATCAGGGGCCCCTTGAGGCCGATTTTGTTGCGATTCACGCTCTCGATGGCCTTCGGTGGGATGCCAAACTTCCCGTCCGGATACTACAAGACAGAGACAGTGTTAGAGAAGCTCTCCTCATCCTGTCACGCCAGGAGACTCACCCGGACTGGAGTCACATCCACTGACTCCCATTCGATGGGCACTTTGGCCGCCTCGAAGATCTTCTGGACGGCCGCTGAGATTTCCGGGCCGATTCCATCGCCGGGAATGAGTGTGACTTTCTGCACGTTGGAGGCGAATCCTCGGGCGCCCGCGGGAGCAGAGGACACCTGAAACAGGTCAATCTACGAGTGAGAGGAGCGAAAAGTTAGCAGATCACGTGGAGAGTGTCCGGAAAAGTGACCCATTTTCCACCACCACGTCCTTGTCGTGTCCTTGATGCTTCACCCAGCGCTTGACACTGATAACAACTCCCCGCGTGCTCCGCCACCCACACCGCCCGGCCCCTTGAGCGCTATCGCTGCATTTGCACCTTTTTCATTGCCGAGATTACATAAGTTTTGCGCAATTTCTGCAAGAAGATCGCGAGTTCCCATGCGAAAGACAGTGTCCGGAGAAGCGGACTTTGTTGACCATTTTCCAGCCTTTTGCCCACCCAACACAGCCCAGTCGCGTCACGAGACAGTCACAACACTGATAAGGCGCCGATTAGCGAGTGATGGCACACAAATGAGATGCGTTTTCAGTGATTATTTGCAAATTTTCTTACAATTTTGCGGAGGAAGCGAAAACGTGCTGCCATAGTTCTTCTTCTTCTTCTACACACTGGCTGTCGCGAGATTCAAAGAAAACCGTCAGAAGGCGCGCCTCTGGTGGCGAAGAGCTGCAACTCGACTTCGATATTCGCGATATCGGAGAAATATCGAAGTGTTGCCGCCGATTTATACACTTCATACATGAAATCTTTGCGCCAAAATTATGCCACACGAGAATTGGTATAGAAACACTGATTTGTATCGTTTCCACCGTTTCCAGAATATTTTCTCTGTGATGCAGAATATTCTGAGAATTTTTATATGTAGGTTTTCGCAATGTAATAAAAACACAATCCTCTTGAAATCCAATTAGAAAGAAAGATTCTCAAGAGCACAATTGACTATCCACTCAGCAAATCAGAGTTAGACTCCGCTGGTCATCACAGATAACGCACAAATGTGTTTTATCTCCTCAAGGTATCTATAAAAGAGGCAGAAATTATGTCAAACTGTCATTTGAGTGTTGAAATCAACCATGAAGGTTTTCTTGTGTACAATTCTATTGGCAGGATATGCCTTAGCCGCGCCAGATTTAAGAATTATTGGAGGAGAAAACACCATTCCTCACAAGCATCCATATATGGTAAGCCAATCATGTGTCTGCTGAAAGAACTGAAAGTAGTGATTTTAACGTGATATTTTCTGGCAAAAGGTTTCAATTCAGCAAAATATGGGTGATTCTGTCGATCAGAGCTACTTCCATATTTGTGGTGGATCAATTATCCACGATAGATGGATCCTCACAGCTGCCAATTGTGTGGAAGATATGGAAGAAGATATACGAATTGTTGCAGGAGCTCATCAACTGTCGCAATTGGACGGAACTGAACAAATACGGACGCCCAAGAAGATAGTGATGCATTATAAATATGAAGGAAAAAATGCCCGATATTACGACTTGGCTCTCGTGCAACTCAACATACCTCTGGATTTCAATGAGAAAATTGGCAAAGTGAAGTTACCCGAAACTGATCCTTATTATCCAATTGGTTTGGCCACGGTGACTGGCTGGGGAGCCACAAATCTTGACGATCCATTTGATAATTCCGACATTCTCATGAAAGCAGATTTACCCATTATTCCGCCTCTCAAATGTTACGGCAGGGATTCTGACGGTTTCCAGGCTCATCTGACCAGTCTCTGTGCTGGTGCACTCGACGGAAGTAAAGGCGTCTGCGTGTTTGATTCTGGCAATCCTCTCGTTCAGCGGAATGCCCATGGAGAACCGATTCAAATAGGAGTCGTCATCTATGGATGGGAGTGGTGTGCGGAAAAGGACACGACGGGATTCTTCGTGAACACATCCTTCTTCATTCAGTGGATTTACGACACGATGGGCGTCAAAATTGGCTGTTGATGTAGTGAATTAAATAAATTTGTTTAAGAATTGAACAATTGCATATCTTTGGGCAGATCTTAATTGCACAACTCGAAATGCACAATAAATTCTAGTAGTTTTTCATCGATTACTTTTCCATTTGTAACTGTTATTTATTCAATTTCAATTCCATATTTCATGCTTCAGGACTTGTGGATCACAATGTAACTTTTCTTTTGCATTTCCCAGTTTGTGTCGAATAACCAACTGATTCTTGAAGGACAGGAATCTTGGGACTTCGAGTTTCCTTCCATGGTTGAATGATAAAATGAATATACTGAAAACTATGCATTAATATGCTCTTTTTTTTGTAGGTTTCGCTGCAATCAATGGATTTATACGACATGCAGAGAATCAAAAGCGCCAAGAATTTTAACGAATTTATCTCATTATTTAAAGTGGTTGTTTGAGAACATGAATGTTCAGTAAGACATTAATTTCTGGGAATTCAGGTGTAAAGAAAATATTGATAGTCAGCGCAATGAACTCAATGTACTTGCTAATCCTACCTATTCAGTTTTAGTAGAAGCTCTCAACTTTTGGAGAACGCAAAGTCATGTAAAATTTTGAATTCCTCTCTCGAAGAGTTATAAACAATCACAAATCCTGTAGTTAATGTTATTTGTTTTCAATAATTATGGGGATTTAAGGTTACCCCGTTAAGACTCACTTAAGTAAAGAAAGCCCCCCAATGGGCTTCTTTTGCATTATCAATCGAATTCTCAAGCTTTTGTTGATACATTGCGACTTATCTTTCTGATATAAAAGACAAATGCAAACTGACCAAGTTCATCAGTTGTCTCTAGACTGTTTGAAGATGAAGCTCTTTGTGTGCATTGCGGTTCTCGTTGGTTATGCCGCCGCGGCGTCCATAGACCACAAGGTTGTTGGAGGAAAGGAAGCCACTCCTCATGAGTTCCCTTACATGGTGAGAATAACATTGATACTTCACAATGTTTTGATTCTAGAAAAGATTTTATTAATTGCGTATAGGTTTCCCTCCAATGGATGGACAATCCTAACACCAAACACTTCTGCGGAGGACTTCTTCTCAGTGAGAAATGGGTTTTAACTGCTGGCCACTGCGTCAATGCCTTCAGTAAGAACACTGAAGTTGTTGCTGGAGCTCATAGTATAAAGAAACCTGACAGTTATGAGCAGAGAAGGACGCCCTTGAAGACATTCGTCCACGAAAACTACGGTGGAGACGTTGGTCCACATGATCTTGGCCTTGTTGAGGTCTCAGAACCCTTCGAGTTCAACGAATATGTGACTAAAGTTAATCTGCCCACTGAACCTGCCTATCCAACTGGAATGGCGACTATTTCCGGATGGGGATCGATGTCCAACAACTTCTTCCCTAAATACCCCGACAAGCTCATGAAGGCTGATCTCCCGCTTTTGGACTCTCAGAAGTGCTTCAATGACTATCCCGGAACGCCAATGCACGAAACCAATGTGTGTGCAGGCGAGCCTAACGGATCCAAGGCGGTGTGCAGCGGTGATTCCGGAAGTCCTCTTGTGGTGAAGAACTCCGAGGGAGAATTTGTGGTGTACGGAGTCACGAGCTGGACATGGCTGCCCTGCGGATCTCCAGGAAAAACAGGAGTTTTCGTAAATGTGTCTCACTATCTGAAGTGGTTGGCTGAGAAAATGAGCAGCCAGTGAATATTGGATTTTGTTATTAATGTACAAGCAAAAAGATAAAAAATATGATAAGAAAAAATTGAAAAAAAGCCAAGCAAGTTGAGTTAATGAATGTATTTAATAAATTCAACATAATTTGCAGAGGAATCCTCTACAAATTGTAGGTACTCGGGTTTTATTTCTGAGAACTCCTCTATGACTTATATAATTTTTTTTTTAAACAATGACGATGTTAATTTGAAGATATTATCTGAACTACTTATATTCATTTGAATTCAAATTGATTTTATTAGCTAAGGTTTTAGAAGTGGCGGGAAGTAGATACTTCAATAAAGAACTATGTAGTTTATTGCATTCCAATCATTCCGCTACTACTCAGAAGTTGTATAAAAGACAGACAAAATCTGGTAAAATTTATCAGTTTTCTTCTTTCCGTACCCTAAAGATGAAGCTCTTTGTGTGCATTACGGTTCTCGTTGGTTGTGCTGCCGCGGCGTCCATTGACCACAAGGTTGTTGGAGGAAAGGAAGCTACTCCTCATGAGTTCCCTTACATGGTGAGTAAGGAATCTACATTCCACCCTTGATTTTATCAAATTAAGTTTCTCGAGAAGATGACTAACTAATTAATCATGTAGGTTTCCCTCCAGTGGATGGACAATCCTGACTTTAAACACTTCTGCGGAGGATCTCTTCTCAATGAAAAGTGGGTTTTAACTGCAGCTCACTGTGTCGAAGCATTCACTGAAAATACGGAAATTGCCGCTGGAGCCCATAGCATACAACATCCCGACAAATTTGAGCAGAGAAGGAAGCCTTTAAGGATAATCATTCATGAAAACTACAATGGCGATATTGGCTCAAAAGATATCGCTTTGGTTGAAGTCTCAGAACCCTTTGAATTCAACGAATATGTGACCAACATCAATCTGCCCACTGAACCTCTCTATCCAACTGGAATGGCGACTATTTCTGGATGGGGATCGGTATCGAGTAACGTATATCCTGACAAGCTCATGACAGCTGAGCTTCCGCTTTTGGACTCTCAGAAGTGCTTCAATGACTTTTCTACCAGTCCTATATATGATTATCATATTTGTGCTGGAGAAGAAGATGGATCAAAGGCTATTTGCAGTGGAGACTCCGGAAGTCCTCTTGTGGTGAAGAACTCCGAGGGAGAATTTGTTGTGTACGGAGTTACGAGCTGGACATGGCTGCCCTGCGGGACTCCAGAAACGACAGGAGTTTTCGTGAATGTGTCTCACTACTTGAAATGGTTGGCGGAGAAAATTGTATTCTAAATAAATACGATTATCAGTAAATCGATGTTTCGTAAGTTAAGGCCGTCATGATTTTGCTTGATTAACTGGTTTGAGGAGTGGCATGACGTTACTATACTTTAATTAAGATAGGCCTCAAGCACTCGTTTGCACGGGGTAGAATAAAATTTTTATTATATTGATTAAGATTGGAATGCACTTCAATACTAGTTTGGTTTTGTATAAAAGACGGAAGAAACATGATGAAGATTATCAGTTTCGTTGCATCAGTGCGTGAAGATGAAGCTCCTAATGTTCTTGGTTTTGTCTATCACTTTATTTGGATCCTTCGTTGGGGCTTTCGCAAGCCCCAGAGTTGTTGGCGGAATAGAAGCGATTCCTCATGAATTTCCTTACATGGTAAATATTTGAAGTTACACAAACCTTTACTATCGGAAATCTAATAATTGTGATTTTTCGTAAGATCTCGCTGCAATGGCAGGACCAACCGGATCCAAATAATCCCGACATGAAGCACTTCTGTGGCGGAACACTCCTCAATGAGAGATGGGTATTAACTGCTGCTCACTGCATAAATTTGATAAGTCCACAGACTGACATTGTTGCTGGAGCTCACAATATTGAGAATCCTAGTGAATTTGAACAGAGGCGAATCGCCAAGCGGATGATCATTCACGAGCTGTACATGAATGAAACTGGTCCTCATGATATCGGCTTGATTGAAGTCAGTCAACCTTTCAAGTTAAGCGATAAAGTCTCTACTGTGAATTTGCCTGCTGAAGATTCTTATTATCCCACTGGAGAAGCCATCCTCTCCGGTTGGGGATCAACGTCAAAATATTACGTCCCAGAATATCCTGATGTACTGAACAAAGTTTGGCTTCCCATTCTTGACTCGTACTCCTGCCACAATAACTACCCCGAAACTCCAATGCATGAGATGAACATTTGCGCCGGAAATCATATACAAGCCATTGCGGCATGCAATTTGGATTCAGGAAGCCCTCTCGTGAAGCAAAACAATCGTGGAGTGACTGCAGTGTATGGAATCACAAGCTGGTCTTGGTTTCCATGCGCCAAGCCTGGAAAGACGGGAGTTTTCGTGAATGTGACTTACTACAAGAAATGGATTTTGGAAAGAATTAATTGATTTTAATAAAAACTATTTATTCACTGACAAATTCCTGGACGTATTTACTATAGAAATTTACAACCTATTTATTAAATTTTCGAAATTCAGTGTTAAATTTAGATATCTTTTATTAATTATCAAAGGAATTTCCTGAGAAATGTCCCTCTCCAAGATTCACAATCATTCAGTTTATCTCAAGTGTTGACTCGTGGCCCATCTTATATTGTCTTTCAAATCAGTAAAAATATTAAGACGGACGTTACGTATTGAGATTTGCTTAGAGCTCTTAAGACTAGCTCAAGTGTGTTGTCTAATACAATTTTTTGTCTTGCTATCATTCTATATACTACAGATAATTTTTCACCAGCTTAAAGTACTTCTACTTATAATCTCAAAATTCCCTCTCTAAACTTATCAAACTATATTTTGCATTCTTTTAGAAGTGCTTTTGAACTCAGTGGGGTATATAAGAACAAAAATTTTGAGAACCCCCACAGTCTTACTCTTCCTAGCCAGTGAAAGTGACACGTTTTGAAAATGAAGTTCGCCATCTGCGTTGCTTTGATTATTGGATGCGCTGCGTTTGCTTCGGCGCGGCCTAAGATCGTTGGTGGTCAGGAAGCAACTGCTCATGAGTTCCCTTACATGGTAAATATGATTAAAACTAAACTAGGTTTAGGATGAAACTTAGACTTGCGCTTCTTTAGGTGTCCTTCCAATGGATGGATTCTTATGAGGGTCCGAGAGTGCATTTCTGCGGTGGAGCTCTTCTGAACAAAGAGTGGGTTATCACAGCTGCTCACTGCATTGAGGCCTTCAGTAAGAATACCGAAGTTGTCGCTGGAGCTCACAGCGTTGAGCATCCGAACGAATACGAACAGAGAAGGAAGGCTGCGAAGACTGTCGTCCATAAGGACTACATGGGTGGAGTTAATCCTCATGACCTCGCTTTATTGAAGGTTTCAGAGCCTTTCGAGTTCAACGAGTTTGTTCATAGTCTTCAGCTTTCCTACGACACGCCTCAATATCCTACTGGACAAGCTACCATTTCCGGATGGGGATCGACATCTAACACTAGTAATCCTTTCTATCCTGATGTGCTGAGGAAAGCTGAGCTCACGCTCATGGACTCTAATAAGTGCCACAATGACTTCCCTTCCACGCCAATGCATGAGACCAACATTTGCGCTGGAGAGGAAGATGGATCCAAGGCTATTTGCAGTGGGGATTCCGGCAGTCCTCTCGTGCAGAAGGCTGTTGATGGAACTGTGATGCTGTACGGAGTCGTGAGCTGGGGATGGGTGCCTTGCGGACTGCCTGGCACAACTGGAGTTTTTGTCAACGTAACTCACTACTTGAAGTGGGTATTGGAAACAGTGCTCAGCGGTTAAAATGGAAATTGACTGATTTTTTATTAAAGTAATCTGCAATTTATTTTCTTCCTCTTCTCTCTATGATGCTTTTCTCGTCAAGTTTCTCGTGGACTTTCTCATTTAGGAATAAGTGCTATCGAGCATATGCTTTCAACAGTTGTTAATAATCGCAAAACAAGACTTTTATCAATTGCAGATGAAATACTCACGCCATTTGCTATATTATTTCCACTTTACAAGATTAAGTGGCATTCGGCTACATTGAAAGACTTTGAAAACGACGACGTAATAATACTTCAATATATGAGTACCTACTTAAGAATTCTTCACTGCAACAATCTACTATAAATACAGTGGAAATCTTGTGGGCAGTTTCAGTGCAGTTGTTACTTTATTGAAGAGTAAAGCAAGATACGTAACAAAATGAAAATATTTCTGTGCATTGTTTTAGTTGCAATCATTGGAGTTACGGCTAAACCAAGAATTGTGGGTGGCGATGAAGCCAAACCTCATGAGTTTCCATACTTAGTAAGCGTTATATAATATTAAATTTAAGGGTGATTGAAAGTAAGATTTTCTGTGATTGCCTTACCAGGTTTCGCTGCAGTGGGGGGATGAGCCTGAGATTAAACACTTCTGTGCTGGATCGCTTCTCAATGAAACATGGGTTCTGACTGCTGCTCACTGCACTTTTTACTTCAGTGAAGTTACTTATATTGTAGCAGGAGCTCACAGCATTGAAAATCCCGATGAGTTTGAGCAAAAGAGAAGTCCATTGAGAGTAATTGTCCATGAAAAGTACACGGGAGAAGTGAGACCTTATGATATTGCTCTGATTGAAGTCAGTGAGCCTTTCGAGTTTAATGAACATGTGAAGGCGATTAATTTGCCTCCTGCCAAGCCATGGTATCCATCTGGAGTCGGGAAAGTGGCTGGCTGGGGTTCTATAGGTAATAATGTGTATCCGGACATTCTGCGCAGAGTTGATCTTCCAATAGTGGAGAAGAAAATATGCTTCAGTAAATACCCGCACTCAAATATGCACAATACAAATATTTGTGCTGGAGCTCTGCAGGATACCAAGGACATCTGCAGGGGTGACTCGGGAGGTCCACTTGTGCAGGAAAACCCAGATGGGGAAGATGAAGCACTCGGAATCGCCAGCTGGACTTGGTTGCCTTGTGGATCTTTAGGAAAAACGGGAGTATTCGTGAATGTTTCACATTTTGTGACGTGGATATATGAGAAAATAAATGGTGAATAAAATTAGTGTGATATTTGTAATTTATTAGAAATTCGATAGGGAATTACATCAAGCAAGATTATTGCATGGGTAATAATATTCAATTCAATTATCATTGTCATCCACGGCGATGACGTCCTCATCTGATGGGCGCTTGAAGTCACTCTCTGATCCACTGACATCTCCCTCTCCTCCGGAATCTTGGCGCAAGCTCTCCTGATCATCCTGGATCTTGTGGTGAGCATTCAAGTGAGTGTAAATTCGAGGGAGATTCTGCATGACGTAGTTCGTATTCTTAGACAGAGAGTCTTTATCATCTCCCTCTTGAGCTGTGGCAGAGAGATTGATGGCTCCTGGAGATTTGAGCATCCCTTCCCTTGGCGTGGGAATGCTGAAAGCAGATCCATGGCGATTCTTGGACTCGAGATCGAAGAATTGGGAATTATTGTTGTCTGCGCGGAAGCCTGACGGGGATGGAGATGAGTTCTCCTTGCTGCGAATGTGTCCAGACACGCGAAGATCAATGAAGAAGTGCAAGGGATCGATGCCATAGGGAGGATAGAGGGAAGGATACCAGACTGGTGGTGGTGGAGGGAGAACCAAGTCTGTTGGAGAAGCCAGAGTGGCTGAAGATTGATCCACTGGTGGTGGAGTGGATGCCTCAATGGGAGACTGAACCTTTTCACCGCCTCCTCTTGATTCATTCTCCTCAAAACGAGGAACTTTCTCAATTGGGGAATCTTCTCTCTTGGAAAATTTCGCCTCGAAAGACTTGGTGGTTAATTCCAGGGGTTTCTCGTTCTTCTCTTCGAACTCCTTTGCTGGAGTTGCGATTTGGTGTTCAAAAGGGATTCTGTGGTGGCTCCAGGAGCGCTTCCTGGGTCTCCTGCCCACGTGATGATGGGGATGATGAGAAGCTGGCATGTGATTAGCTGCTGTTGCCTGCTGAAGTCTGTTGGCCTCGTTGTTCTTCGCCTGCACAAGGGAGCGAAGCATTTCGCTGAAGAAAAAATTGTGCGGAGCCATTGGGGCTGAGTAGAGATAAGGAGGAGTGGCTGCCAGTAATCTGCTCACGAGGTCTTGATTTCTGAAATCCTGCGGATTCATCCGCGCCTTTGGCGGCAGGGTTTGCGAGGAGATTTCCTCAGACATCTGAAAAAGGTAAACAACTCGTTGAGGATGGGAAAACAACCCTCGCATATTGGCGAGATAATTTCAATTCATTCAGAACCACTTAAAACCACCCCATCAAACTTTACCGTTCATGGCAGGGCAGAATGGAAAGGATGGTGATATTCAATATCTATATACCAGCTCTCTCTCTCTCTGGGTGTAGCTTTCAGGGAGAAAAGATGGTGACGGACAACTTAATTATAAAATACATAATAAAACCGAAAAGTTTTTGACGACAACCGACAACGATGACAATGGCATTATTTAAATTTTACTCCCATTTCCATGTGGAGAGTATATTCATGTCCACTGGGGGATGAGAGTGAAATTTTATGAGCTCTGGGATAATCGCAGACTTTCGTTGCAGTGTCTGATTTAATTTCACTGGCGCGCAATTTGATTTTTGCAAATAAATTGTCACCACGGAAAATTAAGATGCGCTCTCAAAGTTCTTTTGCTCCCCTTTTTCACTGGCGCAAGAATTAATGTGCGGGGATGGCGGAAGAAGAGATTTCGTGGCAACTGCAGAAAAATCGCGTGTGTGTCTTCATTTGCGGGCCTGTGTGATATCGCTCGAAGCAAATTTCACACAATGAACATCACAAATGTCACACTTTCCCTCGCTCAACAGACCACAAGAGTGGAGGTATCATGAAGCTCACGTGTCTCCCTGACAATTTTCACCACTCGCACCCACACCCCCGGCAAACACACTTCCTGATGCCGAGTTATGAAGTGTTGGGGCGCCAGAAGGATGCCGCAGGAGGACAATGCGGAATCACTCCTGTGGCATGTGGAACAAAATGTGTCTGATTTTATTGTTAATACACCCCCGATGATGCTGGATTTGCCACACAGAGTCTCGCAGACCTCATGCAAAGAAGTGACTACAAATTGTTACCATTACAGGCGCAGATTGAAATTTTATCCCTTTCTGTGAGGCACATCAGCGAGAGTGTGAGGAGTGGAAATTCTCCCAGTGAATGCATTAAATGGAAGAGATGTGAAATGTGCGAGAAAAAATCTATGAAAAGCGAAATCTCTCGAGTGTAAATGAGGGTGGAGCTTTAGAGGGTGTTTGGTGATAATCGCCTTAGAAATTTCTGGGAACTGAGCAAGGAGCCCCACGGAGGACACTAACTGAATGTCATTGATTTTGAGCACATCACAAAGTTCCTTCGCTCGTTCAAATTGTAATTATATATCACTTCTTATTTCATCATCCAGTGCAACCATCGCGAGTGTCTGATGGTGAGCAGAAAGTATGATAATATCTTGAGCTTTGGAGGAATTAAAAGCACTTCTGCCCATTTGGCATAAATCCTTTTGAGCATCTGTTGTACAAGAACTTTTCCCTTTTTTCCACTCTCGCGGAAAATTGTAAGTGTTTGCATTGCTAATAAATCTCCCTTTATTCCGCGCTTTCCCATTTCAATGATGCTACGCTAATTCCTTGTTCGCTCCTTAATTTCCATGAAAAATAATCAAAAGCGTCGCGTGATTTTTTTTGCCTTGTCGAAAGAAAAATAGAAAGAGTCCGAGTGAGAGAAAGTTTAGCAATAAAATTTGTCTTGTCTGAGATTTTCCTTGTTTGCTCGCCACCCCAATCCCCCAACTTTCAGCGCAAACATTTAAAAGTGATGAGTTTGGGAAGCTTCCCACCCACAATTTGGCGCTTGCCATTAAATTGCGATATAATAAAAATGATGAAACTGCTTCATTTGCGGCATCTGCTGAGAATTGCGCTGCCGAGGGTGTCGAAGGCAGATTGAATTAATTGTAATGATTAAAATATAGAGAGATTCTGCGATGGTATGAAAGTATTCGGGCTAAATGAACTTGCGTTTCCTGCTTCTTCGGAGGGTGAATTCTCTTCTATGGCAATTAATTAGATAATATCCTGTGTCGCTCGCGACGGTTTGTCTTTTCAATTTCATTCCCAAATGCCTTTTGACAAACTTTTCTCGCGTCTTCTTCTCATTTTTCCATCACTTTTTAGGGTGTTGGTGGAAAGTATTTCTCCGGAGAGTATGCTAAATCATCAGATGAATACCCTCCAGACCTTCTCAACTTCCTCATTCTTCAAGACGGCACACGATGACAAACAATTACTCTCTCATTGCTAATTATTAACGACTTTCATCCACCGTCTTTTGTAGACACGAGAACCTCCTTCGGGATTTGGAGAATTCACCGCGCACAGAGTGTGAGGAATTCGCCAAGAGGAAAAATCCACTTGTCGATTGTCTCATTTAGTGGGGGATTTTCGCGATTTCCACACCGCGAAGGATGAAAATTGATTTTTCACTCGACATTCTGCATAAGAATTTCCCATTGAGGATTAAACCGACAGTGTGGAAGGGATTTCGTGAAATGATATTGTCAGGGAAATTAAATTTCCATCCACAAATGGAATTATAATTTGTACGAGAATGTTTGCGTCTTCTTGAGCGTCTCTATTGTTGCTGCTCTATATCTTAGACAAACATTTTGTCACACTCCACTCACTGGGAAAAGCCATATCCCACATTCTTGAGGATTTTACATATCGGTCTTGTGGGTGGGCTTGTGTGAATCAACATGAGGTCCTTCGGGATAGTCGTACAATCTCCATCAGCAGACTTGTGGCGGAGACAAGTGAGCATTTTCACCAATTTATAATCCATTGAAATTGTCTTTACATTTACCTTCGTCCTCGAGTCCTTGCTGTCGAAATATAACAATAAGACGCCTTGTGGGACAAGAACTATTCCGCATGCATTTGCCTTCCTCTCGACGAGAGCTGCTTTCTCCCAACTCTTCACTCAGTCTCCTGGAGAGGATGTATGAAGAATTTCTTCCGCTCAGGTGGAGATTTTCCCCAAATGATGATGTCTCGAGATGATCTTCCGGCAAAATTGTCTGGCAAGATGGAAAACGAGGGATTTGTAGACAAAAGGCTTGAGGGAGATTTCTCTAATTTCATGAGAGGAAAATTGTTAATTTGGCAAATAGACCAACAATCTTCCAAAATCCCACTCAATGTGCGCCCCACAAAACTATATCTACTCTCGTCTCTTTGCTCTTCACATTTGCGATTTTTGCCAACTGAAATTTCATTATGACCATTAAATACTTCATTTCGCAGTGGAGATTCGGGGGAAAAAAATTCATCAATGCAATCGGATTTGATGCAATCCGCGTTTTTTTCTGCCGCTGCCATCAGCTCTTTTTTTTTATCCATCCATCGTCTGTTGTATGTGGGAAATTTTTAATCATTTTTCCGTCTCTTTTAGGCTCATTTTGCATTTTTTGCTCACCACCATCCCGGTACAGATATCGGGAATCACTCTTAATTGCTCAAAGGGAAAATTGCGAGCGGGGCATAAAAAGCGTAACATCGGGAATGCCAGCGAAATTTGCAAGCTCACAATGCATATGATATCTTTTGGAGATTTTTTGTTTATGTTCTGAGAATCGATTGATATTGATAGTGTATTATTTTTGCTGTTGGAAGAGTGGAAATGAGTAGTGTTACGAGTTTGCATTTCATCAGCAATGTTTCTGTATAAAAAATGCTTTGCTGTGGAATTGATTTTTATGAAATTACAATTTCATTTGGTGCCTATTAAAAAAAAAATTTACCTCTCAATTACAGTGATCAGAGTTTAAAGGACATTATATTCAAATAAATTTACCTGTGTTGATTGTTCTATTTTCTTGAAACGCTTAAAAGTTAAGATCGCAATTTTTTCATTTTTTTCATGGAGTTTTAAATTTTATGCACTTCCACTTTGCATATTTTACCAATAACTTGTACAGATAAAGCAAACACTATGGGCTATTTATCTTCGCTAATATCTCAAATCAGATTAACTGGCACATGAGTGTTACCACAGGGACTTTGCAATTCAATTTCGGGTGAATTAAAATCTAAAATTTCACGCTGCGATATCTCAATGGACAATCAAGTTGTTTAAAAGCGATTCAGTGTCTGGTCGGAGAGGGAAGGGTTGAGCATCAATGGGCACAGCCGTCGCATTGAGCGCGGAAAGAGGATTGTCTGAAAGCGAGAGGGGTCTCATGTGCACGGGGTTGATGTATCAATCACGAGAGCGGGAATCACCCCCCGATTGAGGGTGAATATTACTGTGTGATTTTGGAAATTTGCTGCTAAATGCGTGAAAAGCAGAGGGTAAGTCGCTGTGGCAAGTGGGTTTATTGAATTCCGCGTCCCGCTCTCCTCATCGCAAATCTGCCCACACTTCCCGATATGGAAATTCACTGTCGCTTCGAGGATCTCTTGTCTAATCAATTAAGCACACGGAAAAGACTGCGAGTCACTCACTTTTGCCCAAACGAGGGTTCCGACGTGGCACAACTGAGAATCACTGATGAGATTTATGGACCACTTGTTCCGTCTCCGTTGGCAGTTTAAAATCAAATGAGCGCCGGATCTCCAAGTACATGCAGATGAACGGCTGGTGACGTCCTCCTCGGTGTGGTAACAATGGTGATGGAGATTTCAAATAATACAGTGAAGGGAGGGTTGTATATTTCACACAGGCGCGCGCGGAATATTTGCATACTGTGTGGATTTCATCTCTTTCGTCACATGCTGCCACCGAGTCCTCCTCTCACTTCGTCCAGTGCATTCAGAACGGAACCACGGAGGGTGACAACAGTCTTCCAGAGACTTCTGCGTGATGCGTGCATTGCCTGGAAGAATGCTGTTGAGGTTTTAATCAAATTTGGAGTAGTTCTTGCATAAATTGAGGGGAGAGAAAAGGTCATGGAAGTGGATCGGAAATGGGCTCCAATTAAGTGTACTCTTTGTTTATGAAAAATCCAGAAAATCCTTAATGGCTCTGCGTATCAAATTTTTTTTTAAATCATACTTCAATTTAATTTCGCTCACTCCTTGAATGTTAATGTAAATGAAAAGCATTCTATTAGCCGCGCGCAACAATTTTAATGAAGGCTTTAATCGTGGTTTTAACGGGGATAGAATCTATAGTTGTTGCAAAACAATCATTTATTGAGAGCTAAAAATGCACATATATATATATGAATTGGTCCATTGTTATTGATTTTTAAAGTCCTTTTCCACATGGCTTAGTTTTATTTGCGGATTTTTAGGAGTACCTATTGACGATCATTTTCAGTGAACCGATTTCAATTCTTCTTTTCAGATATATCAGCGTTTTATTTTAATCGCACAAGCTTAGAATTTTTTATGCACTACATACAATTTGAAATTTGAAAGACGGGGAATTTGGAGGAATGAAAGGATCGAATCATATGAGTTTTCATTGCAAATAATTACTGGAAGAGGATTCAGAAGGGAAGGGGATTTTGTTAATTTATGATTTTTTATGCATATTGTTCAGAATCGAATTCAAGCTGCTCGAAGATTCTTTGAGATCAAAATCAAAAAAATGCACTTTGCATTGTCTTAATTGGCGTTCTAATAAGTTTATAGCTTCTGCCAAAAAAATAGCTTCAGTATTTTTTTAAACATATATACAATACCGAATTGATTTTTTTGACTCTCAAAGAGCTGTCGTACGCTCCCGTCTTGAGTTTAAATCTCTTGCGTACCTTCATATCAAATACACTTTTGGTTTTCTCGCTAATTTTGCAGTTGAATTTTAGCGCAATAAATAATTCCAAATTGCACTGAAATTTCACCTGAATTCATCACAAGAGTGTTCCCTTAATTTCCACACACGAATTGTCACTTGTTGGAACCTGTGGATGTTGCTCGGAAGGGCTCGATTCCACCATGTGGATTCTGCACTGTGGATTTCCCGCCAAAACTCATAATGCACATTCCCGCCTCGCCTGTTCGTGCGGAAATCATTCGAAAAGCTTAAGTCCTCCGGATTATAATGCCATAGCGACAATAAAATTTTCACCGCAGCAAACAAATATATACACCGTGAGGCGGATGACAATGTGGGCGTTGAGGAATTGTCGTGATGATAGAATGCTGTCTGGGTTGGGATTGGGGAGGTCCACCCTTGTTTGCGGAGATTTTATTTTCAACAAACCATCAACGTGAAGCGCAGATTTGCAGTGCCGGGAAATTCTATGCAGAGAAAAATAGAGAATGTGAAGATTTTTTGTGTGGAAAACACAAAAGACTCCCGTCCTCCGTCTCCTGAACACGCATTCGAGAGCATCATCAAATAGATGGATAACTAACCATGGACTTTTTTGTGTGCTAACATCCATCCACTTGCCAGGAGTGCACACAAATGCTCTCCCTCTCACACTGCAACCCACTATCTGCAGGGAATCGCGACGAGGCGCGACGCGGATTATTTGCGGAGGGACCAAGAGGACGTTCCCCACAGAGAACAATCACGATTATGGTGATGCGCTGGGTCCTGATGCTGAGATTATCAACCATTCCTCTTGTCGATTTTTTTATCTGTCACCACTGTTTTCCACCCAACTATTTTAATTTGTGTGCACGCTTTTGGAAAACGCATTCGTGATTTTTCCATCGGTGAAGAATTATGCTGGGTTGGAAATTGCACAAAAACACTCATAGAGCGACAGAGAAATGGAAAGCTCACCCTATCAGATAAGCTGAGAGCTTCCGGGTGCTTTTCAACTGAGTTTTTCCGTATTAAAAGTGACGGAAAAAATGCGGAAAAATTATTATAATGCCAATCGTAGATGGAACGCGCAAATGGTCTTGAAATTTCCAATTATTGCCAATTCCATCAATTTTCCCCCATCATTTTCACCCTCACGAATTCATTGATTTTTTTGCGGACTCCTGTGGGATTTAAAATTGTGAGGTTCAGTATTTTAAATGAGTTGAAATTTTTTTTTATTACCGATTTCAACAGATTTGACTTAACAATTCTCGCTCAAGCAAATCAGTAATTAAGTGAGTGGAATATTAGTTGATTCAGATTCTAAATTCATTTTTATTCTTTACCTCTGTTTCGAACGTCTGCATTGAAAATCACTTCAATGAAATTCAGAGAAAAACTATCGAAGCGGATGGAAACATTTGAATTTGTGAAAGACATCAATTTCCTAATCCGATTTTCCTGGAAACCAGTGTAAACATTTTCACAGTGATTTTCTCTTCGGTCCAGAGTCATTTCTATTCCGCCACTCACACTCTCTCGCATTTAAGCTGTTGTCGTCAATCGTGTAAGGTGGATTTTTGCTTATTGGTGGAATCACTGTCGCTTGTTGAGGGGGCGAAATGCCCACCCACAGAGAGTGGAATTCATGTGGAAACTCTCATGATTCCCAAACAATTTCGAGTGTTCTGCTGCCGTCTGAGCTGATGGGCAACAAGCGTCAGGAAAATGCTCTGCATGGCTTGTATGACAATTCTCATGGGAATGCCGAGGAGTGAGTGTGTCATTCCCTCTCTCTCTCTCACACTCTCTTTCTGACACAATATCACCGAGAATTTTCGGAATATTAAAATATGAGCCACAATTTTTCCTGCTTCTCACCACGCGTCGAGGGGTGGAAAATGAGAAAGACACCAACGCGAAGAAGCGCGCATTATTTACATCAATCCCTTTAGCGAAATAATTTCCCTTATGGAAAATCCGAGGCGCGGAGGGATGATGGTATTTATAATGTCGTTTTTTTCGTCACCACCCTAGTAATGGAAACCCAACCGTGTTGAGTGAATTATTATCTTTTGATGATTTATTATTGCCGTTGGGATTTTTCTCAAAATTCCCGTCAAGAGACAACGACGTTCACTCATAAATCATCACATGACTAAAAGTTATAATTGAATTTTTCTGTGGATTTTTGATTGGCACTTTTTCCACCATCATTTCCCTGTCCAACGAATACACAAAGAATAGATTTTCCGACCAATTTCATCATTCTTCCACATATTTGGGGGTTTTCCATTGAAAATGCGGATGAAAAAGGGAAAATAATAGCAGGAGAAATTACAATGCACATTCAGTAACTGATAAATCGCCTAGTTCTAGTCTCCTGAAGCTGAAATTTTATAAATTACATCGCGTGGAAAACAATCAAAATGCATTCCAATTAATTTTTCCAAGAGACAGGAAAGAGATAAATTTCGCATTGGCGGCAAATGACCAGTGAGCTGTGAAGGAGGATTTCGATGACTCTAGCAAAATACTCAGCAATCATTGCCCATAATAAATCATTTTGTGGCCAATAGTAAAAAGAGAGCGATTGTGGTTGGTAAACAGTGGGGTGATGCGGAGAAAAATGTCCTCAGGAACTAAAAAGGTCACTATAAATGCCATCAGATGTATTTTGTGTCCTCGCAGACTTTTCGGGAGTGGAAATGCCAATTTCCCTCCTCTAAGTGAAAGTCGAACATCCGCGGCATGTTCTATTCAAATTTGCAAACACCCTCGGTGCGAATGTAAATGAGACATGTGTTAATTAAATCATTTACTGAATACTTCACTTGCGGTACAAAAGATTACGACACAAAGACTCTCTTTGGCTGTTCTTGACTTCTTCTTCAGCGATATTCGGCTTGGAAATATGATCAAGTTTCATTGACTCCAGGAGAACAATTTATAGGATAATTAATAGGAAATCTATTCGAACAATGGCATAAACCGCACAAACCCTAATGTTTTCTTTAAAAAAAAACTCCTTCTTGAACAAGGAAAAAACCAGCAGGATGTTCTGCATCAATCGTGAATATCGCTGCGACAAATCTACCATCAACGAAATTTGGAGGGAGATTGAAGAGAATGTCAATCGTTCTCTGAATATCCTCTCTTTCGCACTTACACTTGGCGTGTTGAATGATAGCATGATGAGAATTTCATGCGAGAGTAAAAAGACCGAATATAATGTGCTCCTGGAAATCATTTTAGCACAGATTCAAATCCTAATCTAATTATTTTCATCGTATCCTTTTATATGTGAAGTAAATATAAAAATTATATTTACATAATATCAATGTCTTAAAGTATTTTGCATTGACGCTTATTCGTTACTTACGTTGAAAAAGGTTTGGATACATTTTAACGAATTTATTTCAAGCACTTCAAGTGCGTACAATAAAACGAAATGTCCTGCTAGCAAGGGTAAAAGGGTCCGTGGTGCAGGAAAAGTGCGGGCACTGAATGCTAGTGGTGCCATCTTCGGGGTTTTTCCTGGAAAACGTCCGCTTTGGGGTTGCGCGTGAGCATGCTCACAATCAACGATGGGTGGCACTTGCAATGGAGCTTTAACATAGAATATCAAGTTTTTCGCAATGTAGAAAATCAATATCTAGTATTGTGACGTCAAGAGGACGGCATACACCACAAAAGTCATCTAAAAAGTTGTTCTCAGCGAGAATTTTTCCAATGAGAGCATAAGTGTGTGATTTTTTGAATTGTACTCTGTGAAAATGTCTACAAATTCACAGATAAAGTGTCTTTTGTTGCTTATAATTGTGGAAAAAGTGATGGGGCAACGGTGAGAATGTCTCCGTTCGTGCACTGGATGGAAAATTGGGTGAAACACACATACATACTGTTATAGCTTTGGTGAAAGATAAAGTATATACGAGGGCTCCGCGGGTTCCAGCCAGTGAGGACTTTTCTTTCAATTGCATAGTTGGAGTGAAATTTAGGAATACCATTACTACATTCATGCACATCCTACACCTCAAGTATCGACGCAGCGCCATTTGTGACAAATTCACGCAAGAAAGTTACGATGGTTGTGGTGGCAAAGATTACTGGGAAAAAATGAGGGCTCCATCTTGGTGTGGTTTTCATTGAATCGTGTGGGATTCTATGTAATATTATTTACAAGTGAAATTTGTCAGTGTGAAATTCCCCATTTTGCAATTCGAGCCCAAAAATGTGTTGATGAACTGATGGAGAAGACAAGAGCTTTTCATTATTTTACATCCAGTCTAATGGACATTTTCCCCAAGTCGTCCTTCTTGTTCTCTCGCACTCGAAAAGTCTACAAAGCTGCTGACTGTACGTGTGTGCGTGCGAAAAGCTCCAACCAATTGTCTGAAGAGCAATAAATTTTTCGAAGACGAGATACGTAGATAAACATGGAGCTTTTCGCTGGAGGTAACTGTTGGTTACCAAGCAATACACTTGCAGTGACCACCAGAGCGATTGGCGTGGTGGCAGATTATGTATAAATACAAGTGTCAGGTGTCGACCAGGCATCTCTCAGTAAAATCTGTGTCCAAGATATGGTGAGGAGGAGAAAGAAACACGAAAAATGATGGAATAGCGAAGAATTTGCCTGATTTCATACCTCCATCGATTCTGGACCATGGATTTTTGTATTGCATCACATATTGAAATGTTATGTGTCTACTTGGTCGTATTGTTGCTGATGCACACGAACGCAGTATCAACGAGTGGAAGTTCGACTGGAGAAAGGGTGAGAATAATAATTGGTGTAATAATAATGAATTATTGTGAAAATCCTGAGCAATGTTAAGTTCACCTCCAGAGTCAATTGATAAATCTATTTCTATCTCAAAAGACTCTGATGAGTCATTCAGAGAGAGAGTAGAATTATATTTTCAGAGCATCTGTTTTGCTTTCTTTTGTGTTCTTTGAGCTTTTCGCATCTAATATCATCTTAAAAAAAACTCATTTTGCGGTTTACAATGCTTTTGTCCAAGTATTGAGTAAAACTTTAGTTCATTTCAACTCGCATGTTGATAGAAATTATGATAATGACAATATGAAAATTATTTTCTTGTTTTCCTCTCATTTCAGAATCGCACTTAAATAATTTGAATATATAAATGACAAGGAAAGCTCAGTTCTTACTTGGTGTAAAATTTAGTTAAAAAAAAATGTGCAAAAAGTACAGAAATTATGAGGAAAAGGACTCTGTTCATGAACACTGATAAGTGGAATTAACCTATGAAAAATGATTGCGTGGCAATTTGAAGTGTCTTTTAAAGTGCACTACTCTCACGACATGAATAAACTATGATCACATTGGATTTCCGAAAAGGGATTCTTGCTGATTCAGTGAGTGGCGTGGAAGAAAAGTAATAAAGCGATAAATCATCGAGATGGCTGACATGCCAGATCTATCGCACTTGACCGCTGAGGAGCGTGCCATCATTGAGTCAGTCATGATGCGCCAGAAGCAGGAGGAGGAGAGAGAAAATGAAATTATGAAGTGAGTGCTCAACAGACTATTAGTACTCATTGCACATATATTTTAGGGATGGAAATCTTCTAAAGTTCACTGTTTTCTAACATCATTTCTCTGCATTCACCAGGCGAAAGCAAGACGAAGTGGCTGTTTTGGAGGATACAATACGACATCGAGCAGAACAGCAGAAGAAAGCAGGCATCGAACTCGATGCCACCTGTCACATTTGCTTGAAGACAAAATTTGCAGATGGCATAGGTCATATTTGTCACTACTGCAGCATCAGATGTTGTGCAAGATGTGGCGGAAAAGTCACTCTCCGGAGCACAAAGGTATTACTTTTATTTTGGATACTGTTTTGGGCCGGAATTTTTTTTAGAGAAAAATCATTTACAGCATTTTTGTGGAAGCACAAATTTGTGCGTAAGAAAGGAAGGCTGTTGATAGTAGAAATATAGAATGAGAGCAATTATATCTCATGATTACAGAATTATTAGTAATAGATAGAGAATATTTGGTGTACTTCAGAGAGCTTTCGCCTTATACCTTTGCATACATTGTTGAGTATGCAATGAGAGAAAAGAGACGATTTTCGAACACTTCCATTTCCCCATTGTCTCTCCGCTTGTGAGAGAATTTGCTCGGGTAACGTACAAGTCGACGAGAGGTCGTATATTGTAATAAAGTGCGGAGAGTATTGAATGTGAGCGTATTAAAAGGGAAAATGGGGAGGGGAAAGGGAAAGATCTGTGGGAGAGAGTTGCGCCGTGGTGTAACTGCGGAGAGGCGTCCCGTCCAAGTGAAATGCTCTCGCCACCGCCCCTAAAAATTTCACTAGAATAAACCATTTTCAAAGGAATGAATGAATGACGTCATTCACGCACCATCGATTGTGGATTAATACTCAGTCTCTATTACGGTTTTTAAACGTAATATCATGAATTTACTTGCGACTCCTACACATTGTCGAAAAGTATGCTGGCCGACTTAATGGAAGATATTTTAAATGTTTATTTACCCTTTTTCTCTCAATATTTGAAAGCTTTGCCACGTAGGAAATGTCGTTTGCCGAGTGTACTTGCGTGTAATCTCAATAGTCAAACAATAGCTATGTAACAGTCGTGACGTCAAAATAAAATCATAGTAAATTATGATGAATAAATCACGAGTTATAATTGATTTTTTCCAAGTACATCTATAGACATCTTTCTGTATTGGCAAAAGATACACAGAATATCCATCCTTCTCCATTGATATTCATAAGGTCATAGGCCACAGAATTTATTTTATGTACTCATATAATATATATGTACCCACATAATATCCCAGTTGCCGATGCACATCCGATATAATCGATTTGCTTCAGGGTTATAAAACCATCAGATAAATGTTTTGTTCAGTGTCAGATAGGCTGTAATTTGAAGAAAGCTACATTAATTATTTTTCGCCAACAAAGCCTTGGAAAATCAATGAACTGTCAGACATTATGACTTGCTTATAGTAAGAAAAAATTAAGTCTAAACACACAATTCAAATGGGAAGTGCTTATGTTAGGCATGTGAAATGTGCGCATCGGCAACAGGGATGGGAAAATATATATGATGAGCTGCATATGATTTTAATAAATATAAGATGACCTCAAAGTTTTGTCGCATTATAGTTTCGAAGGGTTGCACACACATAACTTTAAATATACATACACATTGTTTATGCATGCACAGAAACATTTGCTTCAATCTTTTTGCGATGGAAGAATTCATAACAACCATTCAATTAATGATGCTGAACGGCTCTCTAATGTTCTGTCTGATACTCAAGTATCTAAAATGATGGGGAGATATTGATCGTTTGCCATAGAAAAATCAAAGATTTTCTGCAGCCGCTGTATAATGTGAATTTAATCCAAATTTTCAGAGAAATGCAAATCAATTGGAGTGAAATTATGTAGATACATGCATGTGGGATGGCAGCTAATGTCTTATCGATGTCCACGAATTCTCTATGAGATTTGTGGGATTTTTAGCGATGTACTTCATGGCACAATGCCAAATTCCTGACCTTTTTTTTACCGAGTATTTCGTGATATGGATGGGGTGAATTTATGTGGGGAAGGAAACGTCTTTAGTCGCCGATAAGCCTCATATTACACATTCGACTGATGGCGACATGGATGTGAATTTTTATGTAAATTCCAGTCACTCTTGTATGAGTGCCTTTTTGCCTTCGTCATTGGCATAAAATGTTTCAGTATACTTTTCTAAGTTTAGCCTCTCTTCCGCTCTTGTCTAAAATAGACCATATGGGTGTGCATCCTGTGCCGGAAGAAGCAGGAACTTCTGTCCAAGACTGGTCAGTGGATCCACAAGAACACTGTGGCGGATGGACTGTTGCGGAATCGTATGGAATCGGACATGGCACACGTGAGTAATATCTACATATTGAGACTCTAGCAATGACGAAAATGCACTTTTCTCTCTACTCAAATGCGCTTAGATGGGTATCGACACTCGAGATCCTTCCGATAAGCGCCCAAAGCTGGAGAGAGCGAGAAGTGCCGCGGAGAAGGAGAATCTTCCGCTGCAGCGATCGGGAAGTATGCTCAGGCGGCAGTATTCGCAACAGGAACAGCCCACACACAGGATGGCAGAGGGTCCAGGGGATATTATGAATCCCCCGCGACGAATGCAGCCCCAATATCCGGGCTCACAGATGTATCCAGGGCAGCAACCGTACGAATTGCAGCAGCAACCAATTGGATCAATGATGGCCCACCATTCGCAGCAGCAGTCCATGCAACAACCTATGCTGCAGTCGCAACAGCCCATGCAGATGCAATCACAGCAGGGTATTTATTCTGAAGATGATCCTCGTTTTTATCAGGTAAGCTTCCTGAAGCAATGCTCAACCGTCGACGGCTAGCTAATCTTCCTCAATTCTAACTTGCAGGGTGAACTGGACGGCTTAATGAGGCAACATCCTCATCTAGTGCACCCAAAGCAACAGCAACGCTTTGTAGCTCAACAGCCACAACTGCCTCATCAGCAACAGAGTCTGATGGATGTACCTAAGAAGCACAAGAGGGCGCTCGGCGGCCCTTATCTGACTCAGCAGCGCTCCTTCAGCAGTTCCGAGGAAGATCTCCGATCAACGCCGGAGTTTGAAGGTAGGAAAAAGCATTTTTTTAGTCCCTCTGCGACAGAATTGTAGAGTACAATTTTCCGTGCAAGTCTCCTACAGCGCCGTGTTGCTATTAATGTACAGACGAGAGTATTATCGCTCTGAATTGTGAGAAAGTTCTGAATGGTCCAAGTGAATGACTGCTCAAAAATATATACACATACTTTATGTATATATGTACTTTGGATAAAAAAAAGTGTAAGGATGAATGTGGAACACCTCTACATCTAACCAGTGCAAAACACAATATTACACAAAATGTTGACTTTCTACAAAATACACTTCAATATCCACCCTTTTACACATAAAGTGAAAATTGCAAAATTTGTGGGATCGAAATGATATAAAAAGGGTTTTTGCTTAGGTTGAGGAGCGAATTATGTTGGAAAAAATGAACAAATTCAGTGAATCTGAACAAAAGTGATGGGAAAACATGAAAATTCTGTGCGACAGACTTTAGATACACACAAAAATGTCTAAAAAGAATAATTTTCACACTTTCCGGGGAGTCACATTCATCTCTCAAAATTCGAATTACCATCGACGTCATTTGTGTTCAATGGTTGCATCGAAAGCTCTCTGCTACACTCCCACGTGGTTCAGACGTGGGTGAGTGTTCTTTCGCCATCGTCATGCTTTCCCTGTGAAAAGGGATAACAATTTACTTCCATTCATACATATGTAGCATATACATGTACAATGTGAGCTCCATGGAAAAGGAAGCACTTTACTTCATCTCAAGTATATTTGACACTGACATTGACTAGCGTATCGCAGTGAGATGAAAATTTTTCTTTCTCTAAAATAATTACAAGTGTATAGCGCAGAAGTGTGCTAATTTGGGCAAAGAATTTCAGCAAGGCGAGAAAGGTCATATATAAAAACAATCTCGAATGTGTATTGCACTAAATCAAATAACAATTTTGGCAAGTTATTGCACTAGTCGCAATATTTTATTGATAAATATCTGCGCTAAATTTTCGTCCTAAAGCGATGTAAATTACGCCAGCGAAAGAGCGGGAGATGTGGACAGAGATGGAGAATGAGAGGCAGAGAGCACTCTCTTTCTCTATTAATAACCACTCCATTGTTGTATGTGATTTTTTTTTTTAGATAGAATGGTTTAATGATCAATTTTTAATCAAGGTTATACGAAAAAGCTTCATTGCTTTGAACTTATAATAACGTTTAGGGGAGGTTTTGTGACGTACAATATAAATATATTACATTGTGAACAAGGATGTGAGTGATGTGAATCCAAATATTGTTCCTATACATTTTTCACTCAGTCTCAATTTAATGTGTACGAGACAGGATGAGGGAAAAATGCAAATTGGATTTTGACTAATAGAACAGAGTTGGGCAGGAGCAAGAGTTAACCATATAAACAATCGACGCAGAGAAAATGTTGGAGCAAAGTATCTTATCGATTGCGATGCGGTGCGTCATATACACCCTATTTGTGGGGTAATACTAAGTCAGAGAGAAGGCACAAGAGAGTGAGAACAGGAGAGAGAAAGAGAGAATCATTGCAATGCCAAGTATTTCGCGATTTTCAGAAAAATGTAATAAAGTATTTTATATTATTACTATTTATGATTATTTACGGTATCTCTCGAATTCAGAAATGTCTTTTCCAAATAGACAGCATATTTTTGGATATTTTAGTAAAATTATTTGAAGTTACATACTTTTCTTGCGACTATCGAACGCGAAATGAATCAATGAGAAGTACGTTTTCCTTTCAAGTGGGCGGACGAAATTCTCTCTCTCTTTCTCTCCCTTAATTTTGGAGAGGAAAAATTTGAATGGCGAGTAAAAAATACATACATACTCGTGAGAGAAAATTTGAGAGAGTCTCGAAAAGTAGATACGTATTTCAGTTTACGGAAAGCCATAGAAGAAACAGCATTGAATTCTTGCCTTCCGACGAAATTATTAAGTATAAAATTTGTTAGTTGTTTCAATTGCTGTGTTCCTGACTGGAATTAATTGTATTGTGATGCTTTTATAATTGTCAAATAGCAAGATTTGCTGGTAAATCTGAAACTATATATATATATATATATATATATATATAGTGTAACCCAGTGTGACCATATTGTGTGTAAGGGTGTGTAAGTATGTATAAAATAATATACATGCTTATTAAGACGATTGATTTTCATTTAGCTGGTTTATTTATACGAAAAAGTCTTCTATAATCAGAAATAATTAAATATTCTCTTTTACGAACACATGAGACAATTCTAATATTAGAAAATTGTTTCTAATTAAATTAGCTGAATAGTGAGGTGGTTGCATATTGGACAAAGTGTCTCTACTTCAGTGCTCTTTCTGATTCTTAGCACATTCCGGTGCTCGCTTCTCGGTGAAGTTGGAAAGAAAACACATAAAATTGCTAAAATTGCTAATTAACAAAGTCTACAAATTGTGAGTTTATTGCATATAGGTACATATAAAACGATTTTCTACATTTCTTTAAATGCAGGACTTGTATTTTTTCGTGGAAAATGAATTTAGAGCCATGCATTGACATTTAAATTTGTACATTTCACACCAAATTCACTTGTATTCCTTTACACATGACACACAGGAAAAAGTGGGATATAAATTAACGAAAATATCCTGATGGGGCAATTTTCTCATATTGTACAATGATCCTCTTACAACTGGATGTCCGCTGATATTTTGTGATTACTTAGTAATAATCACAGGTTCGATTAATCCTATACCGCGGTCACGGCCGAATCATCTTACTACAAACATATTTCTACGTATATTTTCTACATAATACTTTCCACTCAGTTGTTTCCAAAGTAGAACAATATCTGTATCTATGTGAAAGAAGTAAAGAGCCAGTGTAATCAGATTTGTCTTATTTTTTGCTTCTTAATGTGATTTTTTTTTATGTACTGAAGTCCAAGTAGCATGACATGATTGAAATTACTCCTTGTGCTGTTTATCATGAAAATAACTCTCGATATAAACCACCTTTTGCACTTTATATGAAACACTGTGTCTTTTTGATGATATTTTGTAGTAAACATTCAATATTCACATCTACTCTTCTGTAAATTCATTATGTTATTGAATATCAATTAGAATAATGATTCGTTTGACTTGGAGAATTAGCTGCAGAAAAATTTAGTAAAATGTTTTCAATATAGTTAGTAAATGTAAATTAATAAGTGCTGGGATGTTGAAGTTTTCCCGACAAATGTGGCATTCGTATGTCATCTACATAGCGCAGATGATCAAGAAATTATTTATGAGTGAAGTGCGAAAGTTGCGGGAGATTGCTTGGGAGAGATTTTGTGAGCAAGCGTGACAAGAAAGCTCGTTTAAAGCGTACATGCGTTGGCCTTTTGCATTTGCAGCGGAACACGGGAAAGTGCTTGGGTCTCAATCGCGTCTTCTGCCAACATCATCTCTGGTCACGAGCGGTGATATTCATTCGCTGGGCAGGTTGGATGTTCACCATCACAACGCGTACAATAGCGCAAATCACAGCCGGCCGGTGTCGGTGCATCACAATCCACAAATAATTGTGGGCGAGGTGGCGGGTGCGTCCTTTGGGGGCAGCATCAGCGTCACACCCACCACCACGTCCACGTCGTCTGCGTCCACCCAGAGCACGTACGACAGGTACACGAGCGAGCCGGACCCGTACTGGGATGACACAGCCGACAGTCGGCGGTTCACGGAGCGCAGAAAGAAGACGGTGCGCTTTGACCGGCAGGACTCGGAGGATTGGAGTGTGTGGGACACGGAACGGCAGGGCAGTCAAGATTCTGCCACCAAGGATTCGGGCATTGACACGAGCAGCACTTTTACCAGTAGTGAAGACTCTAATCGTGGCGATGGCGCAAAGGTACCACATATTCTTTCATCTGTCATACGATTCCGATTACTCGCACGAGTAATATATGTAACTTACATAATGTTGTATGGAGAACAATCCTTCCCAGAAGTATATCGACAAGTCACTGGTGACTAAAGGAGATAATTCCCTTCCCCACTTTCATCCACCAACATGAATTCGTGTTATTAAACGTTATTTTTCTGTAGTGTCCAACATGCTTTACTGATTATTTACAATCTGCATGCCACTTAACTAACATGTATACATTTTATTAGTGCTCTAATCGCCCGGCTTGCCTCTACAATATAATGAATAATCGCTGCTTCTACATTTTAACCACGCAGATATATAGATATGACTTGAATTTAATGCCATAAATTCATCTCAATATGAATTCTGCATGCAAATTTAATATCAGTAGGTTAAAGAATTGCAAAATTAGGCGTGGAAGTTTAACAAACCCAAAAACTGTTTATCTATAATTTTATTTTTGAATGTTTCAGTTTAAAAAAATTCCTACTAGTCTTGAAAGAATAAACAGAGACTGGGAAATAAACAGCAAGGAAGACGGAGGTTTTCAATGAATACTTCTTAATACTTGAGCAAATTTATGTTTATTACTTCTTAATACATGATTGGTATCATGTCCGTATGTTCTGTATGTCCATTATTACCATTTGGTGTTTTCGTACTATTATTTTCTTTTATTCTCAACTATCGCAACGTTTTACTGTCGCATACGTAATGTTAGATTACCACTATTTTAATGTTTCTCAGTTGTTTTTCGAAATTGTTTTATGAAAGCATTTTGTTTTCTTCACATCCAACATTTTTCGTGGCTTTACTTCGCCACTGAGAAATTTGTGGGGTTGCAATGGAGAATGAGAGTGTCACTATTCCCTTAAGCAGTTCACTGTTATGGTGTCTGTTCGTCTAACGATAGATGTAAGGTGGCATAAGACAAGGCAACAAAAACAAACTAATTGATTCTGCAGAATCCTGTTAGTTGGCAAGTGTCAGCAGATGGGACTCGAATGATTGGACACATGATTCTGAGGAAGAACGTCGACGGGGCGGATGTGTTGGGACTAAAAGTGACTGGTGGGGTTTGCTTGGAAGGCCGTGGAATTGGTGCTGTAATTAACCAGGTCAAACGTGGCTCAATTGCTGATCAAGAGGGTCATATAAAGCCAGGTGAGTTTCTCATGTTCCTTCCATTGTCTCAATTTAATTTCACCCCTTTTCATTTCAATAACTGATGGCCAAAAGTAATTTCAAATCCGTATATCTCACATGTCCTCTATTTATTTACTACCTCTACAATGTATATCTAAATGTGGCTTTGAGTAATTGCATATATGTGTGTAAAATCACCTTATTGCTAGGTTTTTTCTATTTTCGCTTCTTCCTGTGTATTGCCAATTTAGGTGACGAAGTAATTGAGTGGAATGGCCGTACATTGCCTGGTAAAACAGCCCAAGAGGTTTACGACATTGTGTGCGAGGGACATCATAATTCTCACGTTGAATTGATCGTGTCACGCGTGATAGAAAGCAATCGCCAGGCTGCCAAGGCTTCGTGGCGCCAATCTCACTCACCAACAAACACCCATCAGCTAGGTATAACATTGTGGATCATCAGCGATCGTTTACTTAAAACCTTTTTGTTCTCCTTTATTTGGCAAACAAGTCTGGCTCCAATTCACATTTAACTTTCAATTAATAAAACTGCCATTACGCCTCTTCTAAAATTCGCGCGAAATTGTGTGTGGTCAATTGACGAAGACGAATAACTCGATGAGAAGTTGAGAAGGATTTTATTACTACACATACAATTCAGCACACAATCACTGAACACGAGAAGACACACACGCACACAATACATCACATCATATGCAATCATGACTGAGGATGAATTGTATTAAGGAGTGTATAGAATCTGGATCAGTTGGATGTTCTCGGAGATTTTTTATTGATAGGAAAAAAAGAAACTATATTTAGGGTCTTTGTTATTTGTAGAAATGATGAAAATTCTCCATGCAATCTGGCTAATATATTTATTCTGTTTGTCTCCAAAATAGAAATATACGATAGACGCGATAAACCTAGTGTCTTGGTGACTTCACCGGGTTCACCTGATCTCCATAGTCTCAATCGTGCCACAGCGACAAGATACGCAAATCGTCTCACCCCCGCTGGACCACTTCCCTTCGACCCTAACGTCGGCGGTCGGATTCAAGTGAAGTTGGGCTTCGAAGGACCGAGTCTCCAGCTGATCGTCACAATTATCTGTGCAGCTGGACTCACCTTGAGGAACAACGGTGTTGCTCGCAATCCTTATGTTAAGGTGACTATCGTGCAGACATTTTTCCTCCTTACTCTTGTTGTTCTCACCTCTGACTGTTCGCTTCCCAGATATTTTTACTACCTGGTTCCGATAAATCAAAACGACGAACAAAAACTCTTGCTAGTACGTGTGATCCACGTTGGGGCCAAACCTTCGTATTTTCCGGTCTTAGGAGAGCCGATTTGCATAATAGATTATTGGAGGTAAGAAGCTCAATACATATAGGTCTTGCCATTATACTAGACTGAGAAACATGTCTTTTGCACAGATTACAATTTGGGACTACATACGATATGGTGCCAATGATTTTTTAGGAGAAGTCATCCTCGAACTAGGAAATCATCCACTCGACGACGAGGCGGAATGGTATATTTTGCAGCCACATCAGGATTCACCAAATCACACTGTACGTTTTTTCATGCGCAATTTCACTCCTTAATCTTCAGTGCAACATTTTGCACACTACGAGAAAATTGATTAATGATCTCACGATTACGATTTATTTTAGTTGTTCCTGCCTCTTGAACTGTTCATAATCAATAATTACTAAATCTTTTAATTTGCCACTTAAAATTTTTTCGTAAGATAACTTTGTAGATAGTACGTGAAACTCAAGTTTTGAAAATTGAGCAAATACGTATGAATTTGATAGTAAATCGTACTTTTTATTGCATTTTTGAACAAAGACAATTTAAGTTTCTTGTGAATAAAATGTACTGATATGTTTCTTTTTCTAAGATTACTTCCGAAAACATTTTCTATACCTTTTTTGAAATTCATATTTTGGAATGATTTGGAGAAACAAAACCTATTCAAGATGTTGATTCTCGGAGAAAGCGTTGGGAATTGAACGTTTATTCATGGTTTTGTGTTGAATTTATCAGGTTTGCAGTTAAACACTAAGATTTTAATAGGTACGCTTTTCAAAAAAAACGATAAACAAAACTAGAGTTTTTGATTTTTATTATTTCTCAAATTGATTATCAGATTCTCAATTGCTTTCTTGAGAAGTGTTACTTTAGTTGATCCTTTCTGAACATTATTCACACATTTATTTCCAAATCAAATCAAGAAGGTTATTCGTTGATATTTTTTGGAATAAGTTTTCTTTCATTTTGAGAATAAAAATCAAGTTCTGATTGTGCTTATAGAAGAGATCATGTGATATGTACATACATACATATTATTTGTGTACACTGTTATCACGGTTATCACTCATAATATTCGGTTTTAATATGTACATCTGTATACAAGACATTAAACTTAGCATGATTCCTAGGAAAACGATATACCGCAAGGGTATTTTTAGATTATTATGCAATTTTTCTGTCTCTAAAATAACTTGCGCTACATTAGGGACTTGTTCATCGTCGAACCCGTGTCAATCAAAGATAACATTAAAAAATAATATGCTTTCTTGGATGGCAACATTTACGTATTCACCCTTCGTTTATTTTTACAATTTTAATCCAAAACATATTATACGGTGTAGAATTATTTCTATTATTTTATTGGTCAATCTTAGTTCAGTTCATATAATATCCCCTTTCTCAGAATTACTGTTTATGGATTACAAGGTCACTCTAAATTGATATTCAAAATGATTATCACTTTCCTGGGTTTAAAGTTTTTCAAGTGAATTACGAAAAATAATACAGTAAAAGAGGAATATTTTAAAGAAAAAATGTCAATATTTTGGTTTTCTGGTAAAAAAATGTTATTTTATTATAATTTTAGTTACGTAAAGGTGATCCAAATGAAATGGATAGCATATTAACTCCCACTGATCATTTGTCACCACCAAGTACGACGTCTCGATTAAGCGATTCGGATACATCTGAATGCGATATTGATGGCATAACAGCTGGCCGGGATGGTGCTAGTTTGTCATCTTTAGGGAGTTCATCAAGTCCCCCACCTGAGGTAAAATGAGCAGGGGAACATGAGTTTGCTAATGTCTCAAATTTCCTTCATCGATTTGTTTCCTTATTTCACTTACAAATCTCCTTAAATTTCTTTCTCTTTACAATTTAGTTAGTCAATATAAGAAACTTGCGAGAAAAAGTTACTTTTGTAGATCTATTGTTTGTTTATTTTCCTTTTACAATAGGTGAAGCAAATTATTATGAGATTTGAATTGTTTAGTTTTCAATTTTTCCTTTATATTTCATTTGCTATACTTATAAAAAAATCTGAAACGAAATTTCGCGGAAAGATCAACGGTTTCCATCAACAGTAAAGCATTCTGCATTTGACGTATGATTTTGTTTCCAATTTCAAAAGACTTAAGACAACGATGCAATGAATGAAAAGCTCTTTCCCCATTTATTTTACCCCAAATAAGGTGGACATAGAACCATAATGTTCTGCTTTAGTTCTGAAGTAAAATTTGCCAAAAACTGAAATTTTTATTAATTTGTTATATGTTTCTGAGCGCCATCTAAGATACATATTAGAACAAATTGAGAAAATGTCTTCACAATGATGAAGATCCTGTTCAGATTTTTTCATAAGTTGAAAATATTTCTCTGTGTTTTTTCTAATTATCTGACACTACAACTGAAATGAATAAACGATTGCTATAACTAACATTTTTTCAATTTCAGTACATTTTTGTTTGAAGAAACTGTTTTTGAACTCTATAATAAATGAAGAAAAAAATCCCTCTACAGCAATTAAGTAGGAGATTGTATGATTTTGGACAATATGCATTTGAAGAATGATTTAGGACGACGAATAAAGTGTTTTATAGGGCGTAGGGACTGTTAGAATAAGCACCATGCCATTTTAATGAATATTTAAAAGTGTCTTTTTATTTTAACAAAACATACACACTTGCATCTATACATGTCAGGGACGAATATTTTAAGTATCACACTTTTCTTTGAGTACGTACGTAACATGGTAAGAGGTCAATACACAACGAATTTAATGAGTTTTACACTTTCAAGGTCATATAACCAATTTAAATATTTGTTTAATATTTCAATAGTTTACTCTGCTTTGCTTTGATTGAACTTAATTTATATACATATGATATTATGAAGGGTAATAATGTTTATCCAATATTTTGCGGAAACACTTGTGTAGTAAGTTACATCACTTATGCATAATATACATACATATACAAAAACATACATAATTAATCTTAAATCTATCTTAAAAATAGTGCATAGGTAGCTTTTGTATGTAGTTGCAATTTAACTTTTATACAATAGTTCATATGGTTTAGACTTTTAGTTTAAATATCATCAAGCCTCTATTTCTTCCTTATGCTGGTTACATTTATATTTTTAAATTCATACAATGTTGGAACCACAGAAAAGTAAATGTAATTTTTACGAAAACAAAATATGAAAAACCGGGAAAAATGTCGCCAGATCCTTAAATTAGCGTCTTATGGCCTAAACAAACTTTTTTCTCCTTTCTCTTTTAATGTGCAGATCGACTTGCACGAGGTCCGACGTTCGAGGCGTGACATGTCACCACAGGGTCGGAAACGGGTTGCTGGCATGGTTTCTCGGGACTACCGAACTGTTTCTGGGGTAGGTCAGGCGTATCACAATCAACAGGCAACATATACGAGGCGAAACGGATCAGTTGCGATGAGTCAGCGTAGCCATTCTGCTGCTCCCAGTGAAAACTATCGCAGTGGCAGTCCGCGTCGCGGATCGCTCTCGCCCCCCGACGACAGGTGAGCTGCTGAGTTCATAACACATGTATGGGTTCACTTTAACCTTTTTGTTCGAGAGGGATGCTACATTGAGTCACCTGTTCGTAGCACATTCAGACCCTTGTGAACATCCAATGCGTAGCATTTAACCCATGACTTAATTTAATTTTCTTGTGCACCTATTCACGTGTTACAACCTTTTCTCTTATTGTCTTTAGTTTTCTTTTCCCAAAACTCATGTAAACGCTTTTCAACCCACAATTTCCAGATATGACTATCCCGTTCTTCCAACACATTCTTATGCTCCACGATTTCAATCTAGATCGGCAACGGCCACACCAACAGGCTCACCGAAGAAGCGTCAACTTCCACAGGTATGCATCGTAAGTGCTCTGTTGACTGTGATGAATGACGCGAATCTTGCAGGTGCCGCAGGGGTCGCGGAACGCTGCGATCAGGGAGAGACTTGCACAAGACTTTGAGGATCGTCCAGGAGGAGGGAGATTCGCACGGCATCGAGTGCGTCATGGTCAACACCACCAGCAGACGTACAGGAGCACTGGAATGGGGGGCTGGGAGCGCCACTACACGGGCCTGTCGGACAGCGACCTGGCCATGCACTCCATGGAACCTCGTCTGCGGCCCAGACACTCCCTGTCGCCAGACAAAGACTTTATGGGTGATTTCGGCGATTCGGACATGGAGTCTGTAGTCAGTGTGACATCGAGTGCATTCTCCACACAATCGGAAAGGCCGCGAGGATCACGCGGATTGAGGTAACATTGTGATATTTCAGAATTCAAAGTGAGCAGAAATTTAATAGCTATTTATATGGGTATTCAGTGGTCGTAAGAGTGGAAAAAAGAAACGAGGCACTCCATTGAATTCGCATACGGCTTCTGTTAGTTCACTTCCCAGAGAGTTTAGATACCATTCTCCGAGATTTCCTGTTGCAAATTGTATTGCAAGCCAAACTACACCTATTGTGACAGATTTGTGCAATTCGAATCCAATTAATCTTCCCTTAGCACAATATATGATTCCAGGAATAGCAAACTTTCATAACATTGTACCGCTAGCGCCACACAACAGTAGTTCAAATTTAAATCAGCCTCGTCAAGTCATATTAAAATCATTCCATTCGGACCAGAATCTTCCGACCATGTATTGGAAAGAAAAATCTCTGGCTGATAATTGGCTTTGCAATAAAGTATGCAGTTCTGAATGCAATTTGTATAATCAGGCATTTTTAAGGCGAATGTCGGGATTCTCAATGCCCTTTTTAGCAGACTTTTCCAAGTATCCGGATCCTCCTAATGAGAAACCACCTTTTGCGGAAATGCCTTTTCTCAGTAGGTCGCATTCACTCATTTCTGACGATAATATTATTGAGATTGAATACGATTCGGATACAGGATGGAAAAGAAAGCGTGTACATAGGAATGCCTTTGGCAAGGTCTCAAAGGGAAATCCATCTAAAGATAAGGTGGATAATATCCAAGGAGCATCAGATCTTGCAAATTTTGATAAAGAACACGACAAGGAGTCAAAGGATGCTGACAATGTTGATCAGTTTAGTGACAATGAAAGTGTTTCTAAAGAGATTGACATGAATTTTAAAGAATATGAACCTACCATGGAACCTGCGAAGTCTCCTTTGCCCAGTGATCCAAGCATTCTCATGAGCACTGATTCTATTAAAACTATCATTGACGAAGTGAGAACTGAGCTTCTTGAGAAGCCTCAAATAACTCAGTTTTTAAGCGATGACAGCTCGAAAGGAGCTTCAGGAAGTGATGATTACAGTTTCAGTAAAGTCGATAAAAGTGCTCTTAAGAAATACTGTAGTGAGAAGGCCATAGGTTTTGAAAATCAAAACTCTTTAGATGACGAAGAGCAGACTAAAAAGACTCATCGGAGGATCAAGGCAAATGAGGTGGACAGTGATGCTAAAAGTCAAGTTCCGCCTACTCATAAGAGAAATTCGTCTTACAATTCATCTTACAATAAAAAGACCACAACTATGTCCTCGTACTTTGCGAAGCGTCGCTCTAGTAGCTTGGATGAGTTGTCCACTCTTCAGAAGATTGTAGATACAATGATAAAGGGCACTAATGAGCGTAGTTCAGTTAGTATTAATGAGACTCCAGAGTATTTCCACTACCAAACATTTCCAGTAGACAATACGCGAGTTGGTAGACGTAATAAAACTTGTGCTTCTCATCTCTCTTCCACCCCAACCCGAACATCTCAATCACGAAAACATGCGTCGTCGAAAATGTCACCGCGCAGCGGAGAGTACGATTTAAGAGAACGACGAAGAGAGGGTAATGGAAATGGACGCAGTGCCTTCCGGCAACGAGATCTCGATCGTGATGCTAGCGATCGGGAGCAAAGAGGTGATTCTCAGCAGAGCTCGTTCAATCGCAGCACGTCGACGGCAGAAGGCACAATTGAAGACAAAATCGGTGAGTTTCACGCCAAGTCAAGACTCTCTTCGCAGACTCACATTGCATTTCTCTCGCTGCAGATGGAAGCTTGAGCGACACTGCTGTGGGTCTCCAGGGCTCACTGGATACCTCAAGACGAAAACCGGAACAACGATCCCCGAAAAGCGAAACTCCAACGCGCGATCGTGAGCGCTTTGGAGGGGGAATGGGAAAGAAGAGCAATTCCACATCTCAACTGTCTGCAACTGGTGAGTACCACTCCGTCCAATCATCCTAACCATGTGTAGCACACCGCAAAATTCTCTTTCTCTCATGACAGTGACAGTATATAACCATTAGTTGATGAAATTCAATTACATATAAAGAGCCATGATGCAAAAGTTATGAAAACATTTAGACTATAAAAATCCCTGGCTTCTTAGACTGGTGATTGTCATTAGCAAATCGCATAGAAATGTTTAATTTTGTGGCCTATATATAATAACATAGAATATTCGTAAAACACAAAGGTCGGAAGAGACGGTTGGGGTTTGGCAAGAAGGGTAAGAATTCCTTTACGGTGCATCGGAGCGAAGAAGTGCTGCCTGGTGAGATGCGTGGTGGTCTCTCGAGAGGCTCGTCGGCCTCCAGTGACGGCGAGGGAAGTGGCGATGGCGACAGGTTCGCTTATATTTCACAACGCAAATCTTGATCAAATTAACCAGAGACAGAAAGATATGCCCCATCACCACCCACGAAAATATCGCTTCACACATATTACTCATCTTTTGTTTCTACCGACAAAGACACAAGTTTCTTTCTTATATACGAAAGCATTCCTCTCAAGATGAAAGAGAACAGAATGATTAGTTAAAACCAAGCTTGTCTATAGATTTTTATATCCGAGAGAGATTTCTCTCACAGGGAGATTTAGAGTACTTAGGCGCTTAAATATTTCCGGAAGTTCAGTGTATATCGATTGAATTGTCGATGTCGTGAAATAAGTTTTGCAGAGCAAATACGATAGTGGACAATTCAAGCGATTGAGTTTCTATGACAGCGTGTTAACTTTTTCTTAACGCATCTTTCAGTGGATTTTTAGTCACTTTTTAGAATTATTAAATATATTTGTATTTCATTTGCAAAATGTATGTAGATCGAGATTATTTGCGGGTTGTATTGACTTCCCGTCTAATGCTTTTTATCAAATGTTATCTTGATCGTTAGATTTGTATTCACTATACCTTTTACATATTCTGTTCATATTCATTGACTGTGAGAAATTATCTTTCTCATGTCAAAAGATTTATACATATAGTGTGATATTTTTCAAGCAAGCACCCTTCGCCTTCCCTTTATGCTAATCAATTGAACATAATATAATGATTATTTCTTATATGCAATTCATTAGAGTTTCGGGCAAGTTCCTTCAGGATTATGCGTTGGAATAGCAGCGTTTGCTCAATGAGTATTTTCGCGAAAATCATTTCGTGGTTGAAAATGTCTGAATAGCTTTGCATGAAACGAAGGATGCCAATTCAATCACGCAATAAAAAGTACGTCTCAAAATTGAGTAGTAGATTTAAGAGAGTCGACTTCGTATTCAGTCGTTAAATCGCAAGATATTCAGTCTAACTTTTCATTGCGTGATCAATCACAATCGAAAATTTTGAGTAAAATGCAACAAAATGGTAATTCTAATGATTTATTTAAAATTTCTGAATTTACAATGTTACAAGTTAAGGGCGCACTTGGACTCATCCTTTACGGAAAAAACATTCTTCAAGGTTTGATGGCTCGTGCAATTTGTGGTCTACAGTGTAATACATCGTGTAACTTTTATTTGTATTTCTCCGAGGTTGAATTTTTAATTTGAAAAATGTATTACAATTACTCCATTGACAAATAATAATAATAGTTTTACAATGAAGAAAGAAAATACAAATTGCGAGAGAGAAGAGAAATCGCTAGGTAAAAGACAATATTGCGAGACATTAAATGATTTGTGTGTTAATGAACAGATCAGGGTATGATGCCGCCACATCGAAAAAGGTCATCGTCAGGATGTATTCAAAGATCAGTTGAGGTTGCTCCGACCGGAAATCCGTCAGCCTGTCGCGCGGGAAGCGTCCATTCAATTTCCAGTTCGGAGGGTTCATCGTAAGTTTTCTTTTGTCGACACTCGAGATTGCAAAATGATTTTCTTTTATGTTGAATTGTGCGCGAGAAGAAAATAGTGTGAGAAAGAGAAAGTGAAACAGAGAGATAGTGACTAAGAAAGTTTCAGCTTGATTTAGTTTTGGAAAGAAAAGAACATAAACAAAAATATATCGATGAGTGCTGATACGATTAGTTAGATTTGATTTTGTATTCATTTACTGAAAAGAGCAGCTTTAGGTATTTGCTATCAATATCGAGTCGTATAATATATATATTTTTTTATATACGCGTGAGACATTATTGAATAACCAACCACAATTATGTCATTTTGCAATTTAAGGGGTTACGCTGTTTTTTGTATATTTTCTATAAATATGTATATCTTTTTTCTCTGTGATATTTTTCTATTAGAAAAAAATGTTGTGTTTCAGATTTCCTCTCCTTCTGCATTCAATGTCTATACTCGTATCTGAATATTCTTACAGCCTAGCAAACTTTTCTGAATTATTCTCTTGAAAGCCGTTATCTCTGTCTAATCTTCATAATTAATTTTACAGCAAATTTTTAATGTTACCTCACACTTTCTTTCTTTTGATTATTGAACGATACCAAAAAAAATTGACCAGATGTTTGCACAAACATCTTGAAAGTCCCATCTTAATTATATACTCAGCTGACAACAAATAACTACAATATATTAATGTGCAAAACGTGTAAGCACTAAAGATGACGCAAACAAGTTATGTTATATTTTTTCTATCTCTAATTTTACTTTATAAATAATATCACTTAAAGATTTTGCGTAAAGAATTACTGAATTATGCATATAGTGAGTAATTTCTTAAAGTTTTCTACGTCACATTAGGGGAGATTTGTGAATGTACCCTAAAATTAAGAAAAAAAAAGAAAAACGTTAAGACAAAAATATTATTGTATTTATTGTTTCAATTATTTACCTGGCAATTTCTCTAAATTTGGTATTTCACCTCTTCTCCTTATGCTTCACTCTGGCATGATGCATGCAGAAAATACTACAACTATGCATAATATGTTGGAACTAGAATAGAAGATATATTTCCTTACGTGAAATGACTTGTACCCATTTTACTTACATACACGTTTTTACTCAAGGAAAATGATCGATTGTGTAGAATAAATTTGAACTGAACAGAGACGACCTGCTGGGCGGAGCTCTCGAATGGGAGGGTCTTCCGAGTGGGCGTAAACACTTCAATAGATAAATAACATACTGGAATTTAAAATGACTTGGCAAAAGATGTTTTCCCTGAGTAAAATATACGATTTAGCACTTTTCACATCTCACTTGACTATGTTAATGATGAGAAGAAGAAGAGTCTTTTTATGCAAACTGTGATCTCTATTTCTCCCTGTAAAATGGTCAAAAGAATACAAGACTTGAAATTTTGTGCCATTTAGACATTGTGCATCGCAGAAAGAATCCCTGTTAAAATCAGTCAATTTCATCTTTTTCATTTGGAAAATTCTCAGAGAAACATATTCCCATTCTTTGTTATTATTTGCACCAGAATCACTATAACATTTATATATCTTTCCGTGCCTCTGATTTTAATTTTTTGCTTCTGTTGTTCTTTGGAACGCGCTTACTCTTAGAGATTCTCAATTCACTATTTTAACGGATTTCTTGTCTTCCCTCAATCGCCGACGTTGTGATACACGAAGGTGGTCTCCGTCAATGCGAACTACGGATGGAGGACAACTGTCGGACTTCATTGAGGGCCTCGGGCCGGGACAACTCGTGGGGCGTCAAGTTTTAGGCGCTTCATCTCTCGGGGACATACAACTCTCACTGTGCCATCAAAAGGGCTACCTCGAAGTAGAAGTGATTAGAGCGAGAGGACTTCAGGTAAGACTTGAAAGTCGGTGCAATAATCACTTGCCTCACTCTTGTCTTCTTTCTCCCACGTTTAAGGCTCGTCCTGGGTCCAAAGTACTGCCCGCACCGTACGTTAAAGTGTACTTAGTGTCGGGGAAGAAATGTATCGCAAAAGCTAAGACAACGACTGCTAGAAAGACACTCGATCCGCTCTATCAGCAGCAACTCTCATTTCGAGAACCATTTGCAGGATGTATTCTGCAAGTAAGTGTACTTCACTTGGTGTAAGCATTGCAAGTGCGTTCTCAACTACAATTCCTCTCTATTTGTCCGCAGGTCACTGTTTGGGGCGATTATGGTCGGATCGAGGGCAAAAAAGTGTTCATGGGGGTGGCTCAAATAATGTTAGATGAATTGAATTTGTCCAATATTGTCATCGGGTGGTACAAATTGTTTGGCACCACATCACTGGTCAGTGGACCGCCCAGTTTGGGTCTTTCTAGACGTTCTTCACTTGCTTCACTTGATTCACTCAAGCTATAAAATTCATTATATTTTTACCGAAAAGTCACACGTGTGCTATTTCTCTCGATAACATGATACTGTATAGATCAATTTTCATATATCAAACAATGTTTTCACACTGTCCTTGTTTTCAACACACACTATTGGCCCAACACATTTTTTTTAATTCTTCTCTACATTCCTCTGCACAGCAAGAGTTTCATTTAGAAATGGTAGCCTTTCAGTTCAGTCCTTGTCTAGTTTACTATTTATTAGACAATATACTCTGTAGTACCCGTTAAGTTTACACACTGAATAAAAGCCACCTTTCTAGAGAATATCTTGCTCAATATTCATCCTAAAAATTTTTATCACAAAGATAAACTATCATGGATGATCATCTTTCCTCACATTAGTACGTAGGTATGTGTCTATCGATAGACCAAGTATTCTTGCACGTCAAAATTTGGTTAAAAACAATTTGGTTCAAAATTCTATCTTGCGACGCAACAACAAAATTTATGTCTAGATATATTTTTGGTAGAGTAATTAAAATGTTTTCTTATGAATTTTGTTGTTTCGTCGTTTCGAAAAGTTTAGTTTCGCATACATTACAGTAAGGAAATAAATTGATGTTTTTCATGAAGTATATTTTCCTTCTCTTGCATGATTGATCTCTTTTTTATCACCCAAATCTCGGTAATAGAAAATAATTTTTAGTTGAATCCATTTTTATTTGATTGAACAGCACTTACGAAATTGAAATACGAAAATTCCAAAATAAATTGTTTAAAATGTCAAAGTTCAAATATTCTCTGTATATTTTAGTAGAAAGAATTAATAATAAAAGTACTTAAATGAACTGTCAATACTTCATCTATTATCGAGTTTATATCATAAATCTTTTTTTATTCATCCTTCAAATTGTTATTGACATACATACATATAATGAATTTATGGCTTTATCGTGCAATTTTCATTTTAATATACTTTGCAAAATATTTCACATTTCTCTTTTCAAATTGTGCTCTAACTTTTCTTGATATCGAAACTTCAGACTACCTAGATCAGAATAATAATGATATTTCCCTTATTTTCAGTAATTGGAACTTCACAACTATAGACCAATCGCTGATAGTGATTAATTTTATGTTAAATATATTTACATCCTTAAGATTGATCTTGTACATAACTAGGAATAGGATTAATGCAAAAGATAACACTAAAACTTATCTAATTTGAGAGATAAAGAAATGATGAAACCAAGAAAAAGCCTTCCACTACTTACATTTTATATATAAATATTCATGTTTATGTGGAAACAATGTGCACTGTAAAAATGATATGTGAAAGATAAAAAAAAATTAGGCAGAGATATAGAGACATATGTATTGCTTAAGTATTTTTCCTTCTTAAATACACATGAAAGCGCTTCATATACAAGGGTGATGACAAGATCATAACAAAAGAAAGAGAGGCAACTTTATTTTTTATGCTTATACCACTAGATTTGCAGATTACTATACATATACATATATATGTACTCCAATTGATTGAAGCAGGAAGGGAAAGAGGAGCGTTGAAAGCTGTAAAATTATAAATTTATTCAAGAGCAAAGATGAAATACACGGAGATGAAATAATTTGCCTTAAGCTTTATAGAAAGGAAAAAAAAAGAAATTGTTTTTTAGATATGTTTAATGTCAGACAAAGAGATGGATAATAAAAAAAAGAATATTATAGTAATCGCTTTTACTGTTGCGTATCAGAGGTTTAACGTAAAAAGGTTTAAGAAATTTGATGTGAACATTGAGAGCCCACACATTTTCTTGCTATGCAAATTATATGTATGTTGGTATAATTTGTTCGATCAAGTTATTTTGACATGAATTACACGAAATGAATGGGAATTTCTTCTGTCCTTTTTACAATTTGTTCCATATTAATTGCACACACATTACATACTGTTAGATGTCGATAAGAAATGGACACATGAAAGGCCAAACCATATCTAACATGAAATAGGATATTACATATACTATTAGATAAGGAAATCATAAAATACCATAATTATGAAATTGTCTAGAATAAAGTATTATGCTATAATAGGCATATGGAAATATACTGAGAGACTACTTGGGAATTGACAGAATCAGTAAATATAATATTATTAAAGTTTTATTGAGATGAATAATGAAAAATTTAAAATAATAATTGAACTTATTACATAATTGCTACGATATTCACATGTAAGAGAATAAAGTTACATCGCATAGAAGATAATTCGTCTACAACTCTCGGTATTTTGTATCTTTGAATGAATTGATAAACATTTATTCCCCATTACATACAAAGTGTTTTGGGTTATCTTTCCAAAATAAAGACCGAAGCCTCATAAAAATACATTTTATCTCCTTCCATAATTCATAATCTTTATACACTTTTCAAAAAAAATTCTCTCTGCTAATCTTTCGGTACAAATATAAGTTTTCGTTCGATAAGCATTTTGCCATACCACTCAGAGGGCTCATAGAGGATAGGCTTAACAGAGAACAAAACCAAAATGTTCAGGTTTCTATACAGGGAAATATGTGTAATGAGAAAAAGCAAAAAAAAGCCTACGATAAGCTCATAGAAATATAAGAAATTTTCCGATTATTTATCTTCACTTGAGTTATGTAATTTAAATGACACAAATACAAAATTTTTATTGTTGATGGAGTTTCATGAAATGTTTAAAGGTATTTTTATTTCTAAAGTATTTCTTCGTTCCTTAATACATAATACAAATACAACGGAAAAAGTTTCACGAATTCATTTTAAATCCGTAACACGCAATCAAAGTTCTTACCAATGATATTGACTTGATTTCCGACATCATCTCGTTATCAGTTATAAAATGAAATCTCAATTCGCATACTTATTAAATCAAGTTTCTTATTAGATCAAGTTAAAATCACCGCCCTTCAATGTTTCATAATAATGTTCATATACATCAAACATATGGTGTACTTTTCTAAGGTTTAAATCTTTGGAACAAGTAAATTGAAAACACTGCGTTGCACTCACACAAAACCAGTATCAGTTCAAAGGAGTTTGACACTTAGAAAACGAAAGGTTGAAAGAGGTTACTAACGAAAAAATAGAACTACAAAAAACAAACATATAATATCATAACATTTTGGGCATCGGCATAAGTTAGAATTTTATTCTTTCATTTTTACTCTTGTTGAAATCTTTCCATCCTGCTATGCTTCATTGGTCAAATAGTGCTTAATGACATCTAGCATGGTAGCCAAGTTGATGAACTACCCTAAATAGAATTTCTGTTAAAGACATGAAAAAATCAACATTTTTGGTCTATAGATATCAATTCCACTAAAAGAGTCTTCTTTTATCATTAGGATATGTACATATTATCATTAAACGCCAACGAAATTCTTGCAAGAAATCTTGAGACATGCGCTCTTAATCTAACTGTTCGAAAAGTTCATCATAAATTTATCTTGTCAATACATAGACAAAATGTGAACCAGTCGGTTTTAAGTACATCGACTTAATCACATTGTAGTTTGTAAAAAAAAAAAACTGCTGTAAGTTAAAACAAAAGAAACGCAGTTTCGCATTTCCTCAAACGTTACGTGGCAGCCATTGCAGGGAGAAATAACGATACACATGACCATTTAAAATAATAATGGGAGGTAAAAGAATAAATATTTTTTCTAATAAATTGTTCTTTTTACAAACGTCAGAAAAGATACATAATTTTTTGTATTGTAGAATTCTTTTAATTGTAGTTCAATTCAGACCGTGAAATCAAAACTGATGCTTTTTCACGTCCGTTTCAATCGTTTTGGAATTATTGTCTTTTGTTCCAATGTCAAAAAAGTGATCAACATCGACTTACAATGTAAATAGAGAAGTATGATAAAGAATTTGTGGCGATCTTTGTAGCGGTACTTTCTTATGTCACCCAAAAGAAGTACATTACATATTTAGATAATAATAAAGTCTATGAATTTTTTTTTAATAAGTACGAATGAAATGATAAAATTTTCATAACCTTGAGAAATCTTGCGTGATATTAGCGCCAATGCTCTAATATAATAAGGAGAAATATTTCTGTACATAGTATAATATTTGGTTGGATGAAAGGATGAGGTTAAATAAATCGGAGAAATGAAACTTCATGATAAATATAGATTATTTCATTAAATGTGTGCCGCACGATTGCCATGGCCTATTTGTCACAAAATGTTGCATTTCATGATGAGAAGGAAACTATAGTGAAATTTGTTGGCAAATCGAACCAGAATAGTTCAGAGAGAGAGAGAGAGTGAGAGAGAGAGAGGGAGAGAGAGAGAAAGAGGAAGAAAGAGAGACATTTACATACATTTTATCGCAAATTGTGAACTTAAAAAGTTTTCTAACTTAAGAGTGAAATATTAAAAAGAAAAAACAACAAGAACAAATTCTATAGGATGTAAAAAGAATGACACCTATAAAAATTATGTTAAAATAATAGTTTTTTATGTAATTTTTAAGACGATACAATTGAAAGTAAAATTGGTAATAGAAGGAAAACACTTAAGAGCAAATGTTGATGTAAGTCAAAAATTATGGATTTGTAATATAATAAATAAAAACCATAAAGAAGTATTTTTTAAATCATACCTTGCCTTATAGTATACAGAAAGAATACATTTTGCAACACGGAAGATATAAAGAATATGCGAAAGTAAAATTATATCATTATCGTGTAACTAAATATTTTTGTGGTCCCGACACGCATCCCAAAATCATAAAGGGGCCAGACTATCATTTGAAAGATGTCTTTTCAGAAAATGATCTTTCGATATTGATCATACAAATATATTGTGAAGGTAATTAAAAAATATACATACAAAAATATGTACATACAAACATGCTACAAATCAAATTTTCCGCGCTCCTATTGTTTAAATAATTATTCCGATATTGAGTATATTTAAAAGCAAATGTGTAACGAATGTAATGTTACAATTCGAGACGTATTCTTATTTCAGAAAATGTGTTAAGAATTTTGATCAGTTTTGATGGAAAATGCGTTTACTGAAAATATGCTTACAGTAGAGATCTACAAGAGTTTCGTATGTTTGTGTGTATATACGTATGTTACTTATATAAAAAAAAGGATAAAACAAAGAGAAAAAAAATATAACACTGGTCCAAAAACATAACATCGTAAAGCGTAGAAAATCGGGATCATTTGCGCCAAAATTATGCAAAAATCATGACACACAAATGGAGAAAAATGATAATTATCCTACATAATACCTACTTACATACATACATACACAAAAAATTGTTAAAAGAAAAAAATATTTCTAAATAGATACAAAAATGGATAAGATCTTCATGTTTTAATAAGAAAAGAATAAAATTATAAGTAAAACTTGAAAACTCCCTCATTATCAGAGAAGAATCATTTAACACAAAGTGAAATATCACATAATTTTATCTTGACATAATAAATCCTAGTGATTATACACATTTATTAAACTGAATAAGGTGGAAAATTTGTGTGTAATCAAATTTATTTTATAACAAAAAAAAATGAAACAATGCAATGTTAAATAAATCACTACAAATATTTGTAATACATATACATATGTACATACATAAATGAAAGATATCTTCATGGACTTGCATACAGAAGAGTTGTATTAAATTACGAAATATTCACGCATAATATTTTATTATTCTATGATTTTTTTTTAAAACAATAGAACATCTTGGAAGGAGATCATACTTTTCTAAATTTCAATTTGTGTAATGTGTTATGAAAATTGCTGAAGGAATGAAATAATTATAGGTGAAAATAAAAGATTAATTGTATCTCTCTCGGCTTCTGAAATGTCGAGAAATGACAATAAACTGTGAAGAAAGATCATAAAAATTAAATCATCCAGTACTCTTTCAGCGTTTGTGATTACTATCCTTAAAAGTATGCATTTTAATTGTATACATTATAACATACAGTATGCAGAATTGAAATTCGAGAAAATTGGAAAAAATCCATCATTAAATTCGAAGGTGAAAATCATTGAAGTGTCTCGTGATCAAAACTGAGTAATTGCTTAAAATTGATTTTCGCTTGCTGCGCGTGTGAAGTGTTGATGGAAATCCAGCAGATTGATACGTGAAAATGAGGAGGAAAATAGACTACATATACCGGATAGTGCATGTGTGGCTAAAGTGCGTTCATTAAATACATTTATCGCTTAATTAATGTGTTTCGGGAAACGAAAAGAGGGACGGGTTGATGATCTATTTTGGTGATGAGTAAGCGGGTTTTCAGGGGTTCGCTGTTTGATTTTCCAGTGAGACCTATGCTTTTTTTATGCTAGGAAACAAAGTAGAGATAATTGACGTATTTTCCCAAATTTACATAATATTCTTCTTTGAGAATATGTGCAATATTATTGTGTTATAAATGCATATTACCTTAGTAACACAGACTGTAAATTTGTTGTTTACAAGATCAATATAATAGTCAATAATTTCAGCCAAAACACACATAGGGGAGAATATCTGAAAAGGTTGAATTTATGACCATTAAAATAAACTTATTTAAAGCAAAGTGAAACATTATATTTCCCTCATAGTTCTGAAGGTAAGTAATAAAAATCTATAAAATGTATATTAAGAGTAGGAATTTTTAATTCTGAATTTTTGAAGGAATAAAAGAGTTTCTTTTCATGCATATACATAATTGTCCAAATAACTTCCTCCTCTAGCGACATCTTTGGTATGCGAAAGGACAACATTGTGTCAAGCTTTCGATGTGAGAGAATTGATAAGAGTATTCTGTGGGGGCGCCAAGTAAGTGGGATAGACTGCGCATGCCTTGTTCGAAAAAGCACCCTTTACGTATGCTGACGGAAAAAAGCCGAATGACGAAAAGTTTCGTCACTTTTTCGTCCCTCTTAGTGTATGTATCTACGGATATACGAAAAACATATCGAAGAGACGTGGAGTCAAAAAAGAGCTCCAGCGTTACTAGTAACAAATACATATCATTAATTGTCTAAGTGAGAAAATTAGAAGTTTAAAGGAGCATTAAATTAGTGACATATCGGAAGTGCAATTTGTTTTTAGAGCATATTCTATTTACCCTACAAGAAAATTGAGCGAAAAACTTTATATAGTGTATAAGAGACTTTGAGATAACCCTCCTCTGAGTGTGTGACAGAATTTTCATTTTTTCAAGTCACTTATTCGTGATTTGCCCAATTCATTTCTTCTTTCCTCCCTACTATTGACTTATTGTACAACATTGAAGACACCATTGAGCCTCTGGGACGAATCATATGTGTCTTGGAGAGACAATTGAGGGAGAAAAAAATATACTGAACTACTCAGACTGAGTTGCTGTTACAACCCTCCCACCCAGTTTCGTGGACGCCACATTTTCAGGCTCTAACCTCACCAGCAAAAGTTCACCCGGGTCACGCTGCCAAGGGCACGGCGGAAGCCTCTCTGGCCAGGGAGACTTTGGCGGTGTGGTCACGAGGGATTGAGGAGACAGTGAAAAGCATCAGGATTGCAAAATGAAGTATGATTATCGCTTTCTTCCCCTTATGTACGTACATAGCGAATACGCATTAATGTCACTTTATCAACATGTATGTAGGCATTGCGGAATGTGTTCTTGGAAGCGTTAGCAAGGTAGAATACTGGCGAAAAAACACTGGAATCGACATTTAATTTAGCCTTCACATCGGCTCCGGCCAGGAGGCTGTCATTAAAGGAAGTTGGTGAGTTTAATTTTCGTGTGTACTTCTTCTCAAAATACTCTGTACTCGATGTTTTTATTTATATCCCGCATAAAGAGTAGAGTGACTCACATTTTGGGATGGAATTTAAAGTAATCGGAGTGCTACCATATTTACCAAAATTCGTGGTGAAGCTTTTATTTCAGCTTTCTTCCTCTCGCTTTTCTTATGTGCGTTCATATGTACTTTCTCGTGTATACACACTCATGTGTTCAACAAATACACTATTTTCACTGCGTTTGTGTGAAAATTAATGACTCGCAAGGTGTGGATCGATAAGGCGCCTCGTGAATACGACCACACGTCGTCCTCGAGGTGTCAAAGGGGTCATAGGGTGGAAACGTGTCGATGATACATAATTCACGCTCACTGTGGATAATTGAAAGCCTTGTTGGACTCTCAAAAGTGAGATGAATTCTGTGAAAACGCTCAAGTCGTGTCGTGCTCTTTTATTGATGAACTCCACCTGGCGCCCAGGGGAATGCAGGGGTGTGTGAGTTTGTTGATCGATATTGTTGCGAGGGAATTGATTAAGCACTCTTCCCATATACCAATGAATTTTTGACTTTTATTGTTCAAACCGTGCGAGGCGTTTTTCGTCACGATATCGACTCGAAGCTTTTATTTATTCAAGTGTGCTTCCGCTTCCATGGCAAAGGCAACACAACACCCAAATACAGGCGCGAGGTGCCATGAAATCATATATTCACTCATTGCGTATTTATGATTTTTTCCAGCATTTCATATAATTATACACACGAATAACGAATGCTATTTTTTCTTATGGGAATTTTCGATCCTGCTTGTTTTCTCCGTGCTGTAATCCGTTCTATTATAATTATGCCATGCCGACTCAAGGAGTATTTACGTTTCATTTTTCTCTCGGATAGAAGGAACAGAAAATTTCGAGTTATGTTAATAGCGCAAATACACTTCCCTTATGTACATGCGACATTGCGAGCACAATTTCTCCACAAATATATGCTTTTTAGTAAAATGATATTGCCAATTAAAGTAGGTCTGAAATAATACGATTCGCCTTTAAGAGATTCGATATTTGGAAGGCATTTGCCAATGTAGGAATAAGAGATATATCGAGAGCTTTGGGTAATCCTTTAAATTTTTTCTTATCCTTTCTTCATGTTTTTTTCTACGTAAATTTAGACGCAACTCTTCGATTTGGTTCAAAAAAAATATCATCTGTTTTGATTAAGAATTCATATAAATCGTTCTAAGTAAAGCCGGGTAAACAAGAGAGATTATTAAAGTCGATCAACCAAAGGCTCCTAATCTAGTGCTAAAATCCTGTGAGATTGCATTTAAACCGCCACTATTCAGCCTTGTCCTGGTTCTATTTGTGGGCGACATACGGCGCATTAAAAGATATTAATAACATTTATGTTGGAAGTGTATATCATATTTTTTATTACCATGGATTTTTAGGCATAAATAGAAAGTCACGCAATAAGTTATGTTAAATTTACCCCTAAAATATCAGGGTAAACCATAAACCTTTATAGGTGTGTCATTCTGTATATCTTTATAAATGAGGGAAAACAGAATCAAAGTAGCTTCAAGATCGCGATCTTCAACTGTAATAATTCATTTAGGCATGAATTCTGTGAATTGCGATGTGAAATGGCAAAGCTGTGTTAGCAACGTAGTGCCTTTTATTGCGGTATTCAAATATTCTTAGAAAGAATTGATATAGAAGCTTATTGCCCCTATTAAGTGATGGTTTCCCTCATTGCCACCCAATAAACAGCAACTCTTTATTCAGAATCAAAGAGTCAATTGCCAACTCTATTACGGAAATATATACTGTATGTGCATTTCGGTGTGCCAACGACTATCTGTATATCGAAGAGTCTCTTTACCGCCGATATCTGTTGTTCTCTTTCTCTGCACTTTCTCACCTGAGCGCCTTCCGCAAACACATACAACACAAACACACTTCCAACACGCCGAGCAAGACGTTCGGCTGTGCAGCGGTTCGGCGTTGAGTGCGAGCAAGAGAGTGTGGCTATAGAAACACTGTGTGTGAGAGAGAGACGAGCGTATGAGAGCGCGCACTTACACAGTGTCCACATGAATATTGTATAGGGGCTTCGTAGAGAATATACTCCGTGTTACATTTCTATCCAAAATCCGCCTCGTCTTCCCTATTTCTATATAGTAACCTGCTGTTGTCGATTCAATATTGAAACACCTTTTGTTCCAGCTGACACCGCGCCAGCGCATTTACCCGACAGCACCACCATTTTACAGCCTTGACCGAATTTACGCGATTTATACGCTTCTTAAGGTATTTCAATGCAACTCAAAGCTTTCTACCACCGAATTTACATGTACTAGAGCTGAATCAGAGGTTCTAACAAGTATTTTGGGATATGTAGGACACTTAAGTCGTGAATATTTGCAGCACTCTCTATTACAATTACTCTTCATAATTCCCATGCAGCCATGTACACGAGAAATCTATTGATACACATCAAAATCTATAAAAAAAAAACTCAGTCTCATCCGTTTTTTTAACAATCAAAATTGACGCTTCTGACTTGTCACATCAAGGTGTAACTCAATTGAATGTGACAAACTTTTGCGCGCAGTGCAAAGCCGTGTATAATGGGAAATTGCTCAAAAGCTTTTCCTTGTCGGTGTTTAATTGTTCCACCAATACGCCCCTCAACAGCCTAGAGACGGAGAGGTAATCTTTGTGTTTGATGAGAGGCGAGAGCTTTTCGAGAGCCACACGCTAGAGCGTCATCGCAAGCGAAGTTGCGTGCGACTCACTCATTGCTCTAGGCGCTCTAGCCCTAGAGTGTTGCAACATGGAGAAATTGCGCGAAAGAGACACGCGCTGACTTCTCTTTTCAGTTCTTGAATGTGTCAGTTCTAGCATGAGTGTGTATATGGTGTGCTCTGTCGCACGCCCAGGTGGGAAACGACTCTGGGCATTCTTGCTGACGGCACAGAATCGGAAATTCAGTCTACTGTCAGCAATCGAGGGAATCACAACGCGCACTAAATTTTGCAAACGAATCTACATTGAATTTTTAAACTAAAACTTTACCTGTAGGCAAAAAGGCATAAAGAGTTGAGACTTTCACGCAAATCACTGTTAAGTCTTTAACCGCAGAACAACCAGCAATTTTGAAAAATTCTATGCAAGATCGTGTAAAGAACTTTATCAGTGTCGCACGTTTCAATTTCGCGTGAGAAGCTTTCTTCGTTAACCGCAAATTATTCTTTCCTTTTCGTTTCTTTTCTGG